AATGATGCAGTCAAAGGGTATCTATGAGAAAGTGGGCGAGGCCACGGAAACGGCGCTGTCCTGTTTGGTGGAGAAGATGAACGTGTTCAACACGGAAGTGCGTGGCCTGTCCAAGGTGGAGAGGGCGAACGCTTGCTGCTGTGTAAGTCTACAAAACACATCTCCCTGTATACAAAGACATTTCACAAGTTTGCTAAAGCAACTTGAAGGGTTAATCGGTGGAAAAAAATACAAAGATAAACAGTGGCCTTCCTCTTCCTCATTTTTCGTACAGGTGATCAAGCAGCTGATGAAGAAGGAGTTCACCCTGGAGTTCTCCAGAGACAGAAAGTCCATGTCAGTTTACTGCTCTCCTGCCAAGTCTGCCAAATCCCCCGTGGGAAACAAGATGTTTGTCAAAGTGAGTCTACGGCTCCTTATTGACACCGCGGTGCTTTGAGCATATGGAAGAGGAGGAGAACGGACAACGAACTTCCAAGATCAAAACCCTCTAAATTTGAAAGAAATTACAAAATGAAGGTCAATGAATCAAACGGCATGTTATTCAAACGGCATGTGTTGATGATGTTGCACGTTATGTTAACCGCGTTGACAGGGGGCTCCAGAAGGTGTCATTGACCGCTGCGCGTACGTCCGCGTGGGCACCACCCGCATACCCATGACCGGCCCGGTGAAAGAACACCTCCTGTCGGTCATCAAGGAGTGGGGCACCGGGCGGGACACCCTACGCTGTCTGGCACTGGCCACCTGCGACACACCTATAAGGAAGGAGGATATGAAATTGGAGGACGCCACCAAGTTCATCGACTATGAGGTAGGCGGACTGAGGAAGAAACTATGGACAGTGTCTCATCTGTGAAGGTGGATTTCACTAAAACAATTGTTTGGGATGTTACTGCAGATTATTAAAGGATGCTAAACTTTTTGTCGTCCCTTTCTCTCCAGACTGAAATGACCTTCGTGGGCTGCGTCGGCATGCTCGACCCTCCCCGTAAGGAGGTCATGGGCTCCATTGAGCTGTGCAGGGCTGCCGGTATCCGCGTCATCATGATCACCGGTCAGTAGGCGCAACTCACTCTCATCTCGCCCTGTGACAACCTCTTCAAAAGGAACCGACGGTGAAAATCTCCCTTTCTGTCGTCCCAGGTGACAACAAAGGCACGGCTGTGGCCATCTGCCGGCGTATCGGCATCTTCACCGAGGACGAGGACGTCACCGGCAAGGCCTTCACCGGCCGCGAGTTTGACGACCTCGATCTGTACGACCAGAAGATCGCTGTTCGGAAGGCTTGCTGCTTCGCCAGGGTGGAGCCGTCCCACAAGTCAAAGATCGTTGAGTTCCTGCAGGGCTTTGATGAGATCACCGCCATGGTGAGCGCGAAAGATAGAGAGTGTAAACAATGTTGTTACTTGTGCTGAAACTGGAAGGAAACCACCATCTCAAAGTATGGACCAGACCAATAACCCATGTCCCTTCCACGCTCCGCCAAGACTGGTGATGGAGTAAACGATGCCCCCGCCTTGAAGAAGGCGGAGATTGGCATCGCCATGGGCTCTGGCACTGCCGTTGCCAAGTCTGCCTCCGAGATGGTCCTCGCCGACGACAACTTCTCCTCCATCGTGTCCGCCGTCGAGGAGGGCCGCGCAATCTACAACAACATGAAGCAGTTCATCCGCTACCTCATCTCCTCCAACGTCGGCGAGGTCGTCTGGTGAGCACGCGCCCGTGTGGACGGGAGGGGAGAAGTGACCGGGCGTTGTTTTACCGCAGAGCCAAACGTTTGTTTTGCTTCCTCTCCCCCGCGCGCTCAGCATCTTCCTGACGGCCGCGCTGGGTCTGCCCGAGGCTCTGATCCCCGTCCAGCTGCTGTGGGTCAACCTGGTGACTGACGGTCTGCCCGCCACCGCGCTGGGCTTCAACCCTCCCGACCTGGACATCATGGGCAAAGCCCCCCGCTCGCCCAAAGAGCCCCTCATCTCCGGCTGGCTCTTCTTCAGATACATGGCCATCGGAGGTACGACGCATTGGGTTCACGCTGCAGGAGTTTGTTTTTTTGTGGTGTGGCAATTTTATTTGGTCTACCAAACGTTTATGATGCCGCTGTCATTTCAGAGAACACTCGCAGACAATGTTCATTGAAATGATGTTGTTGCCGTGGTAACACGTCTGCCTTCTGTGCATCACGTGCAAAATTGACATTTATTTCTTCAACATCAACCTCCTCAGAAACTCTCTGGCTGTCACTGTACAATTAGCTTTCACATGTTTATTGAATCTACGTGGAAGGATTATTTGTTTAACACGGTAACATCTCCTTCAGGTTACGTTGGTGCTGCAACTGTCGCAGCAGCTGCCTGGTGGTTCCTGTACTGTGACGAAGGCCCGATGGTTTCCTTCCACCAGCTGGTTAGTTTTTCACACCCGATTATTTTCATTCAAGTTGTTTCCCCCGACCGCGCAGCGTCGTTTCACGTGTTCTTCACAGGGAGAACCTCAGCTTCTCAGGCACCGTGCAGGACTTTAGTAAGTCATGTTATGTCTCCGTCTCCCCCCCTCAGTCCCACTTCATGCAGTGCAGCGAGGACAACGAGGACTTTGAAGGGATCCACTGCGAGGTGTTCGAGGCTGCCCCCCCAATGACCATGGCTCTGTCTGTGCTGGTCACCATCGAGATGTGCAACGCTCTGAACAGGTCTGACGACGCTGTAGCCCCCACTTCCCGCTGCGCACCGTCAATGAACAATACACGACATTCTGCCAGTAGAATCCATTCGTGTCCTGGACCAAATTACACATTTCTATAAATTGTGCATTTCCATTGATGCCACTTTCTTGTACAAGTTAGGAGCACTATTTTTTTACAAAAGTAGTAAAATAAAATACTTTGACTTTTGTTATTTGAAGAACAATAAGCTGTCAATACTCTTTACTACTCATCTATTTGAGAGTTCAAATGCAACTTTTAATAGACAAGACTTACCATCCTTCAATATTCAACACGTAAATGTCACATGCTTAATTCGTTTTTCCTACTTTCACCGCAAAAAACATCATCACCAACATTTCCGTCTGCATTAACGTTCCCCTCCGCCTCCCCCGTCCTACTCCTCCCTCCCTCCCTCCAGCTTGTCTGAGAACCAGTCCCTGGTGCGCATGCCGCCCTGGAGCAACCTCTGGCTGGTGGGCGCCATGACACTCTCCATGTCCCTTCACTTCATGATCATCTACGTCGACCCGCTGCCCGTGAGTCTGGCACTGGCTCTCTCTCTCACACACACACACACGCACACACACACACATGCACACACACACACACGCACACACACACACATGCACACACACACTGCCTATCCAACCTCTGTGTTGCTGTTGCTTAAACACTTAACAGACGATGCAGCGCTCAGCTGCCCAAATCCGCTGCTTCAGTCTGAGCTCCTAAAATGGTGATTTAAAAAGAAATGTATGTGAATTTGTGTCTTCGCCAACGATGGCGTGAAGATGCAAATTCACAGATACGAGAAAACAAATCTTCTGAGGGAACAACACTGACCTTAATGTCATTCGACAGCTGGTGTGCCGCTAGTTTGGCAGCTTTAATGCGACGCTGCTCTCGTCCACAGATGATCTTCAAGCTCACTCACTTGAACGTGGAGCAGTGGCTGATGGTGCTGAAGCTCTCCTTCCCGGTCATCCTCATCGATGAGGTTCTCAAGTTTGTGGCTCGCACATATCTGGAGGGTAAGCTAAACACGTGACCTGTGCACAACACGTTTCCTTCATGTTTGCAGTGTGTCGAGTGATGTTTCCTGGAGCAGATGTTGCCCAGCGAGTCTGTATTAAGTATGCATAATTGCGTATCCAGGTTTAGTAAGTACAATGGCAGAACTTTGTATTGACATTTTAAAGGGGATTGAAGCTGGTCACATTAATCACTTATTTACACCCTCAACACAATTAGCTGGGACAAATATTTATATTTTCATTCTCCTTTAACATTTTAACTTGAACCGGTGCAACAAACTTCAACGTTTAAGCAGTCTGCATCATGCACATTTGGTTGAGTTTACTTGGTCTTTCAAATACTTTAGGACTAAAATATTATGGTTCCAGAGGATCAGTTGTTTTTATAGGATTTACATCCTTCTCAAACAGCAGAGATCTGTCAGCAGAAATCTAATAACGGTGTTTATGTTTTAAGAGAAATCACTTTGCCTCCAGTAGCTTAAAAATGGTAATGTTTCATGAGTTTATGCGCAGTTGCCAGGCGACCAGCAGCGACTTCAGGAATATACTGCTCCCAGCAAAGACATCGGCCACGTTAAAAAAAGATAATATTGTTCTTTACACTTTGTTAGTTCAGATTCAGATATTAAACCAAGAAAATCTGGAGGCTTTTTTTGTAGCCTTTGTTCGTCTAACTAGAAGCGACGTATTAAGTTTGCATATTTCCCAAAACAAACACTCTTCACTCAGGACATTTTACTCAACATTCCCCCACCGCTGAACTGCTCGTTTTCTTCCGCAGGGAAAGTCTAGAGGGGAAGAGCGACAGAGCTGAAGCAGATAGACGGGGGGAAATGGAGAAGCAGAGGGCGGAGCGATAAGGGCGGAGCAATGAAGGCGGAGCGATAAGGGCGGAGCGCTCCTGCTGAAGGAGCAGATCAAAAGCATGAATACAAAAGAAAAACACATGCACCATCTGAAAATACACCAAAAGAAAGCTGCAAAATATTTTGTTCTGTGTATGTACTGAAGTTAATATATAGGTGAGAGTTATTAAAACTATTGTGTTGATTCTATTCTTAAAGAATAAAGATATGTATTAAAGAAAGCCTTGTTTTTTCCATGTATATTATTACCGTAAATAACAATTGGTAAACAAAGTCATCTACAGATTAGTTGCATTTACATAAAACCCAACACATTTATGACGAGTTTGGTTTATGACAGTTGTTGCACCAGTGAGGCAGGTAGTTATTATCACAATAACTGACGTATAATAGAGTTAATACAACCTTTTATGGCCAGTGATAAAGTTGAATCTGCACCAGTAGATCAAAGGCAAAATATCAAATGATACAGTATGAAGTATATTATATATCTTTTACATTTCCCGGGACTTTTATCTTATTTGGTGGCTCTGCAAGGAGGGTTGAGGCAATTTATCATAATATTTGAATAAGAACTGAAAGGAAAAGATTATGAGTAGCTTTACTTTGCACCAAACAATCCGAGCAGATGGTTTGAATGGATGAACGAACACATCCTGATTTCATCATAGAGTTTCTCTCTTGTTCCGATGCACAATCATCAATAAGCGGGAAGTCTAAAAGTGACTACGGATGTCGCAAGACAATAATTAGCTAAAATAACGAGGCAACAATAGTGCATACGATAAAAATATCCTATGTGAAATGCAGATCATTCGCTTCGTGTCACTGCGATTCATAATTGCACTGTGAGCCGATGTTCCGCAATGAACAAAGACGTCTGCACCGGAAGTTCATTGCATAATTTGCACGACATTTAGTGACACAGTGAAATATCGAGTGTTTTGCTGGAATCAGGTCAGTTTTAACAGAAAACATTTACATGTGTAAATTAGTAGAGGAACAAACGCGTTACTGGATTTAAAGGAATGTGAACATTCAAGGTTAATCATCACTTTGGTAGCTAAGCAACGGTTTGAGTCATGGACGGGGAACCATCACCACGAGACGCCATCTCTTTGGGAGCGTCCCGCGGGAGACGCGCTAGCAGCACCAGCTGTGACAGCCCCGGTGGTCTTGACAATATTCCGCGTGGCCGTTTGCTCCTCGTCGGAGCAGCCAAACATTTTGTCCGTCCTCTTTGGTTCCGATAAACGGAACTCACGAAGCGTCTGCAGGCGGCGAGCTCGCCTCGCTGACCCCCTCCTCCAGGATCTCCCTGACTTGTTCCAGACTCTCGGCTTGCCGAATCAACTCCAGCTTCACCTGGAGGGACGGACGGGGGTCAGACAGATCTGTCACCGATGTGTGGGATGGATTGCGTCAATTTTCTAAGAGAAGAGGAAGTTTAGAAGCTGTACGCGTGCACATCGGGTCGTACCTGAAGCGACTGGGAGAGCTGGACGAAGTCCTTCTGGACGGTCTGGGTGGTGTCCACCTGCGAGCGCAGACTGATCACTTGGCTACGCAGCTCCAGACACTGCTGATGGAGGGACGCCTGGCGGCCAGAAACGGAGTGTCGCATTACAAAATGTGTCACTTTGGTAAATATCAACAAGACTGTTGAATGTAAGCGCAGGAATTCACGATCTGGGTTCCAGTCTTGTGGATTCATGGCTCAAACTTGTTCCTCGTTATGTTACTATTGTAAAATAGGCTAACAATTCATGTGTATTCCCTTCCTGAATTTCTTAAAACTGAGAACAATAATCATGATTAACAGGTCTTCACTTCAACAGCTTTGCACTTGAGTTGTTTCCAAAGCTTTTTGGAGCTCTTGTCTCCTCACACAAGCAGCAGGGAACATTACAGCATCAGCAGCATCACTACGCTCAGTGCTACAAGCGGGTGGGATTTACTTTATCGTTACTGAGGGCCTTGTTGGTGCTCTGCACGTGAGACAGCGCCACCCGCAGGGCTTCCACTTCAGTGCGGCAGGCCAGCAGCTCGGCGTGCAGCTGTTCCCTCTGACTCTGGATCCTCTCCGTCTCCGTCTTCAGACTGGACAACTGCACTGCGCCCGGGCAACACACAATGAGCCTCTTACTTTCACCGTTTTATTGGATGGACAACCAGTAGGAACAAAACCACTGACTGGCTCACCAGGCCGACAATAGAGTTGAAGACTCACCTCCTAAAACGTCTGATGACGGTAGTTGTGGAGTGGGAACAGACAGGAAGAGAGAGAAACAGGGAGGTAAAAACATAGTACAGTGTGCTAAATCCCGCCCTGAATATTCAAATAATCCACCGACCGTTCTCCTCCGTCCGGGTGTCCAGCTGCTCCTGCAGGTGGACGATCTCGATGCGAAGACGCTCCTCACAGTGCGCCCCCTGCAGGGCGGAGTCAACAGTCAGCAGGAGCGGCGCCAGCGTGAGACACTCACTGCTGAAAAGCACGAGCTGATCCTAAAAGACTCGCAGAGCCGAGACGTCGACAAGCTTAAATGGACCTCCAATGTCCTCCAAAGTGATCACAACTACTATCTGGAAGTTAAACAAAAACCGCAACTGCCGAAGGGAAGCTAAATAAAAAAAGAATTCCCGCAGGTTTCTGTTCCCCGTAGAACACTATGTTCAAGTTCAAGTTCAATTCCAATTTCATTTAAGTGCTTAACAAGCTCGGAAAGCAGCGATACAATAAAACACAGAAAGAGAACAATGTACAATACAAAATATCTGACAGAAGAGAAAGAATAAAGTAAAAATATGAAAGCTCAACTTGAATTAAAAGCCAATGAATAGTGGGTCTTCAGCAGGGACTTGAACGTTGCAATGGTCCGAGCTGTTCTTACATGGATGGGTAAACTATTCCAGAGGTTTGGAGCAGCCACTGAAAAGGCTCGGTCACCTCTGGTTTTTAACCTGGATCCAGGCACATCGAGGAGCATCTGATTAGACGACCTCAGCGCTCTGATAGGTGTGTGGACATGTAAGAGCTCCGACAAGTAGGAAGGCGACAACCCATTTAAAATTTTAAAAACAATTAATACAATTTTAAATTCAATCCTGAAACAAACAAGAAGCCAGTGGAGGGTGGCCAAAGCCGGAGTGATGTGGTCGCGTTTTTTAGTCCTGGTCAAAGGTCGAGCTGCTGCGTTCTGGACTAACTGCAAGCGACGAAGGGATGACTGATCCAACCCAACACACAGTGAGTTGCAGTAGTCTAAGCGGGACGTAATGAACGCATGTATGACTCTCTCAAAGTCTTTGCGTAGCAGGTAGGGCTTGACTTTAGCCAGGAGTCTCAGCTGGAAGAAGCTAGTTTTGACAACAGAACTAATCTATTTGTCTAGTTTAAAAGCACTGTCAAAAATCACTCCAAGATTTCTGGTAAAAGGACGAATTTGGGAGACTAAAATAGTAGAGTATCTACACAGGCACTGAGATGTTCAGCACGTCCAAACACAACAACCTCGGTCTTATTGTCATTAAGACAGAGAAAATTCTGATCCATCCATACTTTGAGATCACTCAAGCAGTTTAACAGCGGCTTGATAGATAGAGAAAATGTGAAACTATTAAAGCAGATTTACTCTAAATGCAGTAATTTGACCTGCAGCGTTGCTGGGAACGATGAGTCCGGCCCCTCGTGCTCGACCTCCTCCCCTTTCAGTCTGGACAGCTCGCTGCACACCTTCCTCTGGGAAAAGGATAACTCCGCCTGGACGCAAGCATGCAGATTCAAGCACCAACGTCTACTGAATAGAGGTCACATGCAGCATGTGATATACAGCGAGGAACTACTGTCGGCTCCATCGCTGAGAGACGGAGGAGTGAGTCATGATGCGCTTGAGTTATGAATTCATGGCAAGGCTGCAACTTAATTTTGGTTCTTAGCATATTTTCTATTTGAATCGAAATACAACCAACCAGAACAAATTTAACATTTTAGGCAAATATGTTCATTCTTTTCTCCACTCTGATTTCTGAACAGAAAATATGCAGCTGGAGCCAGCGGTAAGTTAGCTTAAGTGATCTCCGCCCAAAGACGACACACAGCAATAAAGCACATACGGGTAAATAGAATAGACTTTTTCCAAGAGGCTAAAACCACATCCCCAACACAAACAATCAGTAGGCGTCGTGTCACTCACCAGCCGACTCTGGACGGCGTTCTGTGATTGGCTGAAGGCTTTCTGTATATCCTGGAGGAGGGCCTCGGAAGTGTGGACCTGACACTGGAGCATTGATACCTGAACACACACACACACACACATTATATCCGCTCTCGCACTGCTGTAAACACACACTCAGAGTGTTGCTCACCTGTTTGTGTGTGTGGTTGGTCTGTGTGTCCAGCTCCCTCTCCAGCTCCTCCTTCTCAGTCTGCAGCCGACTCGTCTCCCCTCGCAGCTCCGACACCTGCCCAACAAACGGCCCGTCTTCATCCCACCGCCACAAGACGCCTGAAACGACCCGACTTAATACAAGATGAAAACTCCACCTGAGCATTGAGCGCGTCCCAGTCGCCGTGGGTGACGAGCCGGTGTCCGGCCGGCGGCAGGTAGATGGCCTCGGGCACCAGAGTCCCCGTGGACACCAGCGAGTCGGTGTCCTCCTGCGCGTGGTGCTTTCTGGGCAGAGACGGCGTGTCCAGGGAGAACGAGGACAAAGAAGCCGAGTCGCAGTGCCGCAGCGAAAAATACGCCTCCGACGCGGGAGGCGTCCCTTCTCCCTCCGCCCCCGCCTCCAGCTCCGCCGGTTGGTTGTGCCTCCGGTCCGTCGGCGGCGCGGCCTCGGCCTCCGTCAGGCTGTTGCCGATTGACGGAGGGGATCCGTTACTGGCGCTTTCTGCGTCCGTCCTAACTCGCCTGCCGCCGATCTAACAGGTAGAGGAAAAACAAATAAACCCTGCGGTCACGTCCAGGACGACGGGAAACAATATGAAGGGGGGGAAAAATAAGAGAGGCACAAATGCAAAGACGGACCGTGTTCGGTCCGCTGGGTCTCCTCCACTCCCCAGGCTGAGACTGGAGGACAGATATCCTGGCCTCATACTGCGATGCTGTCTCTGCAGGGACACAAACCACAGTTCAATCCTCCAGTCAGACGGACAATATCCGGTTTGTCTCAACAGTTGAAATTCCTCTTTAATAATTCTATAAAAAGTGGAAATTCTGATTCAAGACGTTGGCGTTTTAACAATAAACACTTGCATTGTTTTAAAAAGGATTTCCCCACATGTAACGGTTCTCTGGCCTCTCCTAATACCTCATCATCCCTCAACTGCATACCAACATTTTAGTCCTTCTAAGCTTTCAATCCGATGTTTTAACTGATGCTATTGATTGAAAGCGAAGAATCAAATCATTTTGTGGTATTTCCAAATTACGCAAACAGAAAACCAAAAACAAATAAGTTTCAATGCGAAACGACTCAAACGCGCAAACGAGTAGCAGCCGGCATCGCGCTGTGCTCGCCATGAAAACATGAAAGCCCAGACAAACACACACTGACCTCGCAGAGCCTCCTGCAGGGACTGGATCTCTTGATCACATTGTTTTTGCAGCTCTGCCAGTTCCTCCTGTTTGCTCAGCTCACAGATTGTCGCCACGCCCTGCCAGTGTTCGGCCTGAGCTCGGTACTCTGCCAGCTGGGCCTGCAGGCTCGTCTCTGGAAAAGGATTTTATTTTGAGTTTCAGCTGAATTGTGTTGTTTCTAAGGTGTTGGCATTTGGTAGGGACGGACTCACACACACTAATGGGAAAAACCAAGGCTACCACTAGTTATATTACACAATTTAAAGGAGTACATTTACAAGTCAATTAAAAGTCCAACCATCTCCACTATGATTGATTTATAAATCCACCACTTTCTTTCGCTAAATGAAAGTGTTAGCCCTTCTGTTTGAAAGAAAACATTAACTAAAGTGTTATTTGAATGTTATTTGGAGTAATATAATAAACAGGTGCAGAGCTGAACATATAATGTATTTAAACATGTGTTACAGACGTGACTCCTGAGACCCAAATAAGCTGTAAAATATTGTTGCAGTTTTTCTATTCAGTAATTCTCTTAGGAATTATCAAGGGGATTTGTAATGCTGAGTCTTTTTATTTAACTGTCAGTTCCCCGGGGTCTATTATTGACATTACATTATGATTACCATGATTACAGGTGACAAATAAAATTGACTTCATGGATGTAAAGACTCCAGCACACATGCACAGGACGCTGTATATTTATTTATTTATTGTTGTCAAGCACAGCTGAGAATGAAATCCTGCTTGTTGTTGACAGACAACGACAAACCGAAGCCGCCAGCAACAGGTTTTTTTGCAGGTGGCTGCGGATTAAAGTAGTTAAAAGTGCTCGCAACCGTCACCGGGCTGCGAGAACAACAACAACGTTAGAGACGCGTAACAAGACGCCCACGCCAGGTCCGCGGACCACGGCTTGGACACCAGTCGAGCGACGCTAAAGAAGCTAGCATTCTAAGGCCGGCCCGTTCGCTTCTATGGCGGCCGACGATGCCGTCGGGTCGGTTGAACCGACACGCAGCTGCGCCAAAGTCGACGGGTCTTTTCTGACCGAAAGACGCGAGTCGCCGCGCGCGTCCTCGTATTAAAGCGCGTTAAACCGCGCGAGGAGCAGCTGCTTTAAAGGCGCGTTGCTACTTTGTAGCAGCCGTTTTGCGTTACCTGCGTCGCCGGCTCTGGAGCTCATCTTCTTCCCCCTCGGACGAGAAGAAAGGAAGAACAACAAAAGAAAAAAAGAGGAAACGCGTCTACGAGGCGGTCATTCGGCTTCTAAGTGCGGACGCGACCAGCGCGGCGTCAACTTCAGGAAACAACTTTCCCCGCTGCGAGTCCGCGGAAATCACGTCGACCTCCTTCCTGTCCTCCGGCGCTCCCATGTCGCCTCTGACCGCTCAGCTTCCCACCGTCTGCGCTTCAAACTGCGCTTGAAAACCATAGAAAAGAGTCAGTTGTGTTCTTTTGCTTTCGTTGTGCAGCTTGACACACCTTTAGGCAACAGGTATCTGCTCACGCGCACTGCGTGGTGACCCCTGGAGGTCACTGACCATTGATACTGAGAAATACATAAATAATAGTTTATTTATTGAAGAGTAGCATATTCTTTTCTTTTCTAACAGGTAAATAAATAATGACAATTTTCCAATTTATGTGAGAAAAAACGATTACATACACACTAAAAAATGGTAATTTGAGATTGTTTTTTATATTTTAATTTTCAGATTAATTTAATTTATACAAATTCTTTTTTGAATGATTGAAAACAAATAATAGTTTTGCCCGCATATTAAACGTGTTCCCTCTTTTGCCCATTTGACAGATTCCTCTAAAAGTGAAGACGGCAGTGTGCTGCCTGCTTTAACCTTGTGCAGAATGTCCTGCAGGCAATCATAAAATACAAACATGGCTGTTTTTTTAAGGTTGTTGTGAGCGGTTGGAGGCCCCCCGCTGATCCAGCACCGTCTCCTTTTGCTTCTCTAGATGTCGCTCCATCACGTACGGCTTTCGCCGCCCAAACTGTCCAATTCCTTCGTTCAACTGTTTGTGGAAAACGCCTTTTGCAAAGTGCAAGGTGCAAAAGTCCCTCCGTCTGCGTGTTATCAGCCATAGCAGCGAGGTGCCTGTGCATACTGCACGCTGATATGATGTAAAGTCCTCTGCTGTCCTTCATACAGGATCGATTGTGTAACTCATTTGAGTTAGAGACCGCGAAGAGGCACTTGATGTCTCGCTTCAATTCTTTTAAAGGGATTAATCAATGAGGGGTGAAATAAATGCATTGTGTATTAAACACCAGCCTTGATGTTTTCCTGGATACTGTATTTTATTGCCAGCTGTGTTTTTGCACCTGCTTCCTTTGCTTGAGAAAGGCCTGACCACTCAGAGTTTATGTTTTCCTGTTTGCTTTTCAATTTAAAAAAAAAGCACAAACGAAGGGTTCTAACCAACCTGGAATCCAATTATTTCGCTTCCAACCGTTATTAACCTGTGAAAACAAAACCAACTCAATCCGATGTTCTCACATTCATCTCTTAATCGAGAAATCTGATATCTTCATCGATCTGCAGCTAATCAGGGTGAGGGAAGAAAGAAACAGAAGCTGCAGCTAATGGAAATCAAGATATCAAGTATGCTACAAAACGTGGTCCTCATCTCATAAGAGCGCGTCTAGACACAACTAAAGAGAATCAAGAAAGAGACGGTATACTTTACACTTTATTTAAGTATTCTGTAATTAAAAGAGGAAATAGAAAAAGCTGTCACTGGAAAAATGGTTGCTGGATATTAACTTAATCTACAGGAGTTATTTAGTAGATCATTCTACATATTAGCGAACGTAGACGTTCATAAACTGGATCAATACACACACACAACCTCATCAAACCAGGCAGTAAAAGGTTCTGTAACAAATGCTGGTGAAAGTCTCAGTCATACAAAGCGACTCATTTAAACATCATTAACACTTTGGAAATGTTTCAATATCTTAGTGGTATTGACCGGACTTCTTTTGACTGGAGCAGAGGCACAGAAAACATGTAGAAATGATATATCTATATATAAAATATATCACAAAAAATAATCAGTAACAAAAGCTCATTTCTCAAACTAATAATCGGTAGTGTGTTTTTAGTGAGAGATTACAGAAGTATCGTGATCTAAAAAGTAAATGGGCCTCTACAGTATCCGGAGGGACGCGTCTTGAAATTTACATCCGCACAACCAGACACGGCAGCGAGTGAGTGGTCACCGACGAGGCGGCTGCTGGGAAACCATGGCGACGCCTTTACATCATTGGGTCCGGCGGCAGTGAGGGGGGGGGCAGGCCGTCATTACAAGCCCATGTCGTGATCGCTGACACTCTGGCGAAGGTAATCTTCATACAGCTTTTTCTGTGTGGGGGGGTGGGGGCACAAGGTTCAACACTATAATGTCCATTTTATCGCCAGTATCTCACACACGCAACTGAGAACAATGAAATACCTTCTTGGTCTTGACCACCTCCTGAACGTACTCCAGCTTCTCGTGCAGTTGCCTTTTTTGTTTGCCTGAAAGAGTCGGTTGAGTCCTGCAGAGGATTGAAGGCAATTCGATGAGATTCTGTGTTATTAACGTAGAAGCTGAGGTACGCAAAAAGCTGATGGTCATATAAGTCTGTTTAACAGATTATGTTCTTGATTACACAAGTTAAATAGAAGAATCACAGCTGCTTAAAAAAAGAAACTTAAATATTAAGGGAAAGGAAAGCTGCTGTATGAAGAGACCCTCAGACACAATAAATATGTAGTTTATATACAAAAAGCAGCAGCCTATTGACTAGTGTCATTAGAAATTATTGGCAATAATTTGCAATTCATCAAAAAAACACTTCAAAGCCCACAATATTTTCACTGTCATGTTTTGTGTGACCAACTCCAAAGACAATATAATTTATTATTATTAGAAAAGAAAAAAAAACGCTTTCTGGACAATCTGGATCGGGGGATTTGGCCGGAGACATAATCTCTCCCACTGCCCTCGTGGTAGGCAGGCATGTAGCAGATGTCGGTGCTGGGAGGTTTTTGTGGTACCTGAAGGAGAAGCGCGCGATGATGAGCAGGAGGAAGGAGAGCAGGACCAGCCCACCACATCCGTAAAGCTGATGCTCCGCAGAGAGCGAGTCGAACGCCTTCACCGCCGGAGTCTGCGGATCACAGGAGAAGCTCCGATCAGACTCGACCGCCTCGGGCAAACAACCGCGGCGCCGGCTTCGACACTCACCAGGTAGAGGGAGAGCGCCGCGGTGCCCTCGGGGCCCAGGGCCACCTCCAGCAGCTCACGGGACAGAACGCCCAGCACCAGTAAGGCCATCAGGGCCAGAGGCACGGTGAAGCCCAGCAGGGTCAGCAGGCAGCTCTTACAGCGCGCCCGCCGGTTCATGGCGCTGGTGTGCCTGCGAGAGCAAGAGGGTCAAGCTTGTGCCCTGAAGGCATCACTGACCTATTAGGAGTCAACATTTTAAAGAGGATAAAACTACGCTGGACTACGGAGCTCACAGCGTGTCCGCGGGTTACCGGTCGTTGCTGAGCTTGTCGGTGATGGCCTCGCTGATGACCTCACAGTCCTTCTCCAGGGAGTTCAGCGTGTTCTGCACCGTTTGGTTGATGGTTTTCTCGATGGCACGACAAACCTCCTCGATCTGGTTTACACAGCGACTCGGCTGAGAAACAGGAACAGAGACAACTCATTTCAATGTGCACCTGTCGGGCAAAGTTATAGAAGAATCGTCGAAATGAAAATGCGAGAAAACAAATTCAGGAAGCAGAGACGCCACGTGGAGCTCAATGGAAGTGAAACTCTCACCTTATTGGGATTAGGAATGTAGATGGTGGGCATGTCAAAACCACACTTGTTGAGTCCCGGTCGCTTGCAGAGCTCCTGGACAATCTGCATCATCACTCTCTGAGACAGCCAGTCGGGCGAGAGACAAAGAAATGAGTCGGAGGGAAGTGAGCGACTCTTCAACATGAAGGGGACATATTGTATTATTTTCTATAAAATCAAGGTGTAGCTGTGCAAACCTGTCTGTCCGACTCTCCCCCGGCCTCGTCCGCCTTGCTCAGGTAAAAGCGCAGCCGATCCCCTTGTTTCTCGTTCATACGCTCCACGATGTTGAGGGTGCGCTTGCACAGAGCCTGACCCATGGGGTCGAAGAAGACCAGAACCAGGTCGCAGAGATCACCTGAGTGGGACAGATCCTCATTGCATTAGGATGTATGATGGATGGTAATGGGAGTAAGATGTCTGAGACAAAACTATTGAGTCAACTTATTTCAACTTTCTTCCAAATGTTGTATCATGTCAGTTTTATCATGCTATGAAGATGGGAATCCACGCAAAGATGATTTCAAAACGTAACATGTTGCTTTGAGTCAACCAAAGCCTGTACACAGACAAAATGGGGGGAGCAGCAGATGGAAAAAGCTCACTGGTGAAACACAGAAATTTTGCAATATCATTCTTTAAAAAGGAACTAGTGTCACAAACCCCAGCTGCCACAAAGGGGGGGTGGCAACAGGCACGGCCAGTTCAGCAACTCACCCAGCCACATGATGACCTCGTCCACGTCGAAGGGATACTTCATGTCCCCGTCCACCAACCCCGGCGAGTCCACAAACGTCACCAGGCTGAACCGCTTCTGTCGTGAAGTGCAGATCTCTGTGCTCAAGTACTCGGAAACACCTGGAAGTCATTTCAGGAGCATCACAGATCGGATCTACAGCGATCACAGAAACAACGTGCTCATGCTGTACCAGTGTAAAAAAAAAGAAATTCTGCTGTAAAAAATTCCACAGCTCTAACTTGAATGCGTGAATGAGTAACAAGTTATAAACTCTATAAAAGAGGAATGTGATTTGAGCAGAGTTCTAACCTTTGAACTCTTGCAGAGGCCTGAAGTGTGGATATAGATGAAGGGTGGCATTTCCCTAAAGAACAACAGAACCAGATTAGTTGAGAATAGTTTGACAATCCTGAGAGTCCATAAAATACAATTCAAAAACGTGTGGCTTCTTCCTGGACCAAATTCCTTCTCACAGCAAAAGGCCTTGTTGTGATTGTACAGTCGCACTCACTGTGAGAGATTCCCTCTTGCGCCCACTGGTAACAAAGTTGAAGCCTTGGGTCTCAATAGCCACTCCAGTGCGCTGGATGTGCTCCTCAACATACCTGACCAAAAGGGAAAGGGTCAGAAACGGACAAATACGTTTGGACAGATTTTCTCATTTCAATGAGAAAACGTGTGTGGAAACGTTTGACTTGTAGCGTACGTTTCCATATCACTTATAAATAAATCAATTAGATGTAGATTATCCTGAAAAATCACTAGACTGTATGTACTCTGGGGTGGCTGACACGTGGATTGAAGTTAAACGCATATAGTTTGTTTTAATCTGTTAAACTTTCCAATAAACTAGAGGGATGCAACAGGTTTAAACTAGACAGTGATCCAGTGCTGTTCATATTTCTTATAGTTTCACATTCCTTAGTTGGCTGACATAAGTGTTCCTAGGTGAACATGCGGCAGAGAGTATGTTAGAATATCCTTTAAGACAAAAACAAACATGCTTACCAGTTGATGAAGGAGCTTTTCCCAGCAGAGTGGTTGCCCATCAGCATGACGGTGATCTTTTTTCTGGGCGGCAGCAACTTCACATCGACAGATTCCGCTACTGATATTAACCCTGGACAGATTGTGATCAAACATTCAAATTAAAAAAAAAAAAAATCAAGGTAAATCTGGCGTCATCGTGGGTGTAACTGAGGCACTCGAGACAGAATGGACAGGCACTTTAAAACATGTTGTAAAAGCACAGCATCCATTCAAATATAAAAACTGGTGGTACTTCATTCATTTGTGTTGCGTGGACCCAGAATCCCCCGCGAGGCCCCTGGTCTCTGTGGCAAACGGACACTTGAAACATTACAAAACTCTATTGCAAAAACTGTATTTCGTGATGACGCCGTATATTGAACATGTGAATTCCTAGTTGGAGGATTAATTGGCAGCTCGGCATGGCTAATAAAAGTAGCATCAACGCTAGCTAGCTAGCGCAACGTCACCCAAATCCCGAGCTCCGTGTCACGTCAAGCTAACGGTAAACGTTAGCCCCGGTGCTAACAGCTCGCTAGCTTCAACCAACAGTTGCAATGGTGACTGTTGGGGGGGATTTCCAGTGAGGGGTTGACTCCGGTAAAGTGTGTCAGTCAAACTCACCACTGTCGGGATCCGTGTACAGTTGATGACAATCCCTCAGGATGCGCTCATCGCAGGACACGGCGCCGGTTATCGAGTCTGCGTTTGCAGCACTTCGGCTCTTGATTTTCCCGGACATTGCGAGACTGTGGTGGAATCAAACTCCCGGAGAGGCTTGTTTGGAATCGAGGACTTTGTGAACCAGCTAGCTATGAACAAAGCCGGTGAGCCCTGTTTGAATCGGCCCGGTCTGCTGAAACACGGAGACGTAGCTCGGCCACGTCGTCAACTGAAGCGGCTCTTTGTCGCAGAGGATTCTGGGTATTGTAGTTGTTTTATAGAAACGACGCTGTCACGCATAATCGACCCACCCGCCACTAAAGTGTATGTGCGTGTGTGCGGGGGAGAAGGGGAACAATAATAAGCGCACGCCTAAAAATGTTTGATTTGAATGGGCAGCTTATGAAGCTTAGGAACACAAAAGACTGTTCCTTGTCTGTGTGAAGAACAAAATGTCTTACTTAAGGTGAAAAGGTCTTAGGCGTGTAAGAATGACAATAACGGATTTAAAAGAAAGGTTTCGCAAACAATTCCCATCACAAAGTGGCATATGGGCTGAAAGGATGAGAAATGTTATTTTTTTCATTTCGTAAAATGAAAAAAAAAGGTAGACACTCATTTCCTGTACTGATAAAGACTCACCCGCTGTTCAAGTCTTACTCAAATCTTGAATGGACAAGTGTGCAGCAGTAATAAAATGTTTCCATAGTAAAATGTAATTTATGGCCGCTGTATACCCACTGAACTGTGAAATACTCTTTTGCAATCACTTGCGCGTCTTGTTGTCACAAAGATATAACTGCAGTAATAATGCATAGTTTAGTAAATGACTACATGACTTCCGATTTTGAAGAATGAGGCAAAATGGTTTGGGTCTAATTCCGACGGTGAAAGACAAACTAAATAGAGAACTGAACAAATATTGTTCACAATTACATCAATTTTTATTTTATTCTTTCCTTTTCACAATGAGAAAAAGACACATTAGACACTGATATGCATTATGAAGTGGACTTACATCTACTATAAGGTCTTCTAATGGGGCTATGTACTGTAGGCTGAGACATATTGACATCTGCTCTTACACGTGCTGTCAGACAAATACTTTATGTATAATAACCACCTTCAAAACACAAATTCAAAAATCAAGTCAGGATTAATGTTAAATAATTTAAAAAAATCAGACGTTTAGGTCGATACTTTTCAGTGCAAGTTTAGTAAGTAGATACTTTATTCCAGCAAATACAGACAATCCATTCAGCAAAGTGCTATACCGAACAATAATTATGATAAAACCAATCAAAACATAAATTAGTTCACAGCTCCTCCTACCATGTATTTATTGGTCTTGTAATAACCACCAGCCATAATCACAATAAGCATGGAGAAATAAAGTCGGAACTTTTGAAGGCAAAGATTAGGAGGATCATGTGACTGGCAGGTTACAGATACAACTGGGAACATGTGGAAGGCAAATACACTCCCTTCCTGCATCAGTGCGCTGACTGTAAATGCTTCAGTAGTGATGGTAAGTGGCCTCAGTGTACTGGGAGTCTAACAGAGGCGAGTGAGTGGACATTTTAAAGACTATGCTTTTAGTTTAGGGATTGAAAAGCAGAACCTCACCATGCACAGCGGCTGCTGCTGCGATCATACCTCAATGCAAATTGAATATCATGTTGTGCAGACAAATGTTGTGGCTTAAGCAGCAATGAGAGCCCAATAAAAAAAAAATAAAACACAGTTTCAAAAATGTCACATCACACCTCGTGAAATCGGTTAGTCGCACCAGCAGACAAACACGTGGTGGTCTGCTGTGCACGGCCTCTTGATGAAAGAAGTGTCCACATGCTGGCTTCTGAATCCCAACAGATACGAGCCGTTTCATGCACAACTCCCCCTCCCCGCAGTGAGATGACACCTTCTGTTGCCTTGGATTCCACCGTCTGTTGCCCCTTGAAAACATGTTTGTCCTCTAGCTTTGGCCTGTCGGTGCTCAGCGTTGGTGCACCGCTGGGCCGCGTGGGCAGCTGCAGCCTTTCTTCTTACTCTATTCACGTCTAGAGATCAAAGTCAGTCTGCATTTTTTCATCATGGGCGTCCTCCTTATCATATCACACTTACATTAATGTAGTACGTGTCATGTTCAGCATGTCATTGTGTTTCTTCTTACAGACTCACGCTGGGTTGATGTGATCCTTCTTAACATTGAATTAATTAGCATAATTAGTGCAAATAGAAATATTGTGGCTTGCCACATCTTTCATTTGCTACAGTAGATCAATCTTCACAATGTCTCTGTGCATTATATAGCGGGCATGCATATGAAGCTAATGGGATAAATGTCGATAAAATTTTAACTATGATTAGCACGTTTGAATTAGCGAGACAAGATTTGCATAAGTTTATGTGTCATGCAACCTAAACGCAGCACACAGAAAGCAAGGAGGCCCTTCGTCTTTCCTTCATCGTCGTCGTGCCAGAGTCCGTCCCCCTTGGTTACCAGTGAGCGTTCCTCTCCTTGGCAACCAGCTCCAGGAACTGCGCGTGGCTCGCATACAGCGGGAAAGACGAGTCAACGTCAACCCACTGGACTTGTGCGGCGTCGTCGCCGGCTTGCAGCGACAGCTCGCTCACACTGTTTCCTACGGCAGCAGCAAAGATGATGTCATCGGCGCACACACAAAACGCACTGGAGGTCTCCAGTCAGAAATCATCCAAACAACACTGCTTTGTTTTTTTAAATGGTTCGCAAATTGCTAAAGCGGTTACTGCATGAATGAAATACTTGATTTCTAAAAGAATTAATTTGAGTAGTAAGAGAATTATGATTAAATGATTGATACCTGATTCGTCGTGGAGGTTGACGGCCACCGTCTCCATCCAAGCATTGTCAGTGTTTCTAGGATCATCCACATAGCCCTTATAGACCTGAAGAAGGGGGGGGAAGCATATTCTAGTTTTCCTCAAAAAGAAACCTGTAGATTGAGGAAGAAGACTGGTATATGTGTGTGGCAATGGCGGACCTGAAACCCTGGCGATTTGAAGAGTTCGCCGATGCGCTCGCTGATTTTGGCCACCTCCGACGCCGGGACTGCCAGCGAATTCATCGCTTCCTCCGAGAACTCACGCTGCAGTGTAAGAGAGACCTGCTCCCCTGGATCTACCATCCCCTGCAGAACAACCACACCCACACAAATAAACATGCGAGTCGCAGGAACGCAAGAGCTCACAAAACATATCCTGGCTGCAAGTTATTTTTTGTTTAGGAGAGGCACGGAGAGGACACAGACCCCTGGAATGGCCCACTCCCCACAGTCCTTCCTCTTGATGGACACAAACTGCAAGATTGGCCGCTTGGAGACGGAGTGAGAAATCTTCTCTTTTGTGACATCTACTTTCCATCTGCCAGAAAGTGACAAAGCATACATCTGCCCATCATGCATTTATAAAAAGAGAAAAAAGTCAATTCGTAGTTCTTTGAGGACGGATTCTCGTTTTACCTCAACAGGAAACTGCTTGGTTATTCTGATTTCACATTTCCTTAAATTACATCATGGCAGTGAGCACTTTCCACGTAAGAAAAGGTTACCTGGTGACGATGGGATCTGCTGCGTGATTGGGTCCCCATCGTCCCAGCAAACCTCTACCAGTCACCCCAGTGCGTCCACGAGGATTTCTACACAAGTAAAAAAAAAAAAACATTTGCAAATGCGTTTATAAGCAGGAAAGAAGACCGGCAAAGACTTCTGTTGGTATGCCATAACTTACAGCGGCTTTCCATTTTCTGTTTTGTAGCTGCCTTCAAAGCTCGTCCTGTCCACAGCACCATCCACGGTGTTAAACTTTGGAGAGAAAGATCTGGGAAACAATGAAAGTCATCCATAACTCCAGCTGAACGTCTCACAGCCGAGCAGCACACAGAACACCACAGTCTTAAAAATGTACAGCTCACCCAATATCCGGATCGGCCCACACAGGCTTCTTCTCTACAGAAGGGTCGGTGTAGCTAACAGGATTATACTGCGGCCAGTTCTGACTCCATTCCACCTTGTCATCAGGCACAAGGAAGCGCTTGATTTTGGACCCTGGGTACAGGGCACATCTAGCCTTGATGTGGGGCCCCGCTGAGGATGGCATTGTCCAGGTACTGGTAGTGTCGAGGTTAAAGCAACTTGTACGGACGGGTCTGATGGTTCCAGTGGCCCCGAAAGGGTGAGAAGGAAAGCAGGAGATGGCCGAGCTGCAGGGGATGAAATATGAGACGTAAAAAATCCAACGTGTAAGTCCAGATCGTCCTTCCCTGCAGCAGCGTGGTCCCCGGCCAGCCCGAGTCTACTGTGTGCCCGTATCGCCCTTCAGCAAACTAATATAACGTATACACATTCACCCTCGAGTGACGGGAGCCTAAACCTCTCACAATAAACATTTAAATTTGACATGTAATCACATATCTATATTATATTAAATATAAATAAAGCTTTACTTTAATTATATCCAAAAGCAACGTTATTATATTGTACATCAATATAAAAGCAGTTACATACCCTTTAGCGCGGCAATAATTAACAGTTTGGACAGAAATAGAAACTAAAGCACGTGACTACGTCTACTCTCAATGAAAGAGTTATTTTACAGCCGAAAGCCTGCTGTAATGTCGGATAGTCAAAGCGTCCAGTCAAACCTTCTGGTTAACGTCACTCACCGGACCTGGTGGGTGCAGCCGGCGAACGGAAGTCCGCAGAGAGTGAGCGCCAGTCGAATCCGGCCAATCCAGTCACGTCGCAGGACGTTATGTAGCATTCCCCGAATAAGAAATATTACAATGAGCCATAAACCAACGGCCAGGGCAGGCATGCAGCAACCAGGAAGTCCACCGCCCAACGCCGTGACGTATGCAAAGAGGCGCGGTTTATGGCCGGCGCACCCGTTTCCATGGTGATAGGATTAATGAAGTATTTGTGTGTCTTAACAAGAAAAATAATACGTTAATACGTTTGTTCGACAACTTATTATAGAGTTTAAAAACATGTCTTTGACAACATTTCCGAGCTGTGACTCACAGTCAAGATTAGAGAGATAATAATAGTACAAGATTAAGGAGGTTTTTATTATGATTATTTTAAGGTGAATCATCGGTAAACGTTTGTATTCAAACATATTCAACATGTTCAATTAACCAATATCCATTTGCTGCTATTTTCAACCAAAGTTGTAACAAAATGTTTTCCTATACATTAGTATGATTACATCTCAAATACAGGGCCGCAAAATGCATATACAGTTTCCTAATGTGCCGTCAAATATACAAATATACATTGTATCCTTTTTTGTATCCCACCCCACGTAATTTTCGATGATGTACATTAGGACATACATTGCAGTCCTTCCACAGGCAAACAACAGCACTCGACCATAGTAGAATGGTTGGTATACAGAGGTGGATTACCACACAAAAATTGATAAAAAATGACAATAGTCATAATAGTGTATTATTCTTGTCACAGCAGGCAGCGTGCAACATATTTCGACACGCCCACTAGTAGCTGCTGCTGCATATTTGTTTAGCAGATTGCGCTTGTTTTTCTTAACTACGAAGCTGTACAGGCGGTGCCCCCCTTCCAACCAATGAGGCTCCGCCCGGAACAGTCGCCCTCACGCAAATATCTAACGCACCTGTACAACCGTAGTTTGGCACGCGCATATACGCTCGATGCCGAGACCAAACGCGGGCTCGCGCACGAAATCCATTGACACTCTGTTAGCAGAGGGCCCCGAACGAGTCGCTTTGCTCCGTCAGTTGAACGATCCTTTCGCCTGAAAACCCCACACGGACGTTAAACCCCCGACCCAGAGCGGTGGCGATTCCTCGGCGAAACATTATCGACTAGAGCGGGAGCGGTTCGGAGAGGAAGAATGGCGGATTCGTGCCCACGCAGCACTGCAACAGTCGGGGCCGCGGGCTCCAGCGGCGCTGCCGCCGCAGCCACGGCCGCCGCCGCTGCTGCCGCCGCCGCCCCAGCGGGCTCGGTGGCGCAGGGCGGAGCGCCAGCACCTGCGGGACCCAAGGCCCCGTCCGAGTCCGTGAAGGGGCAGATTTTTGACGTGGGCCCCCGCTACACGAACCTGTCCTACATCGGGGAGGGGGCGTACGGAATGGTCTGGTGAGTTGTGCCTGTCGCCTCCCGTTTGTCAAACCGCGGCGTCCCGACGTCGAACCGAACGCGCTAGCTAACGTAAGCTGTTAGTTAGCAAACGCCTTTACCCGCCTAGTGGCGTCGACGTACATGTGTGACACTGCGTCCCACCATTCAGACGTTTGTTGAGCAGCTCATGTGGGGGTTAGCGGGCTAGCTACAGGGGGGGCTCCGCGCTGTAATCCAGGAAACGAAAGGGGGGGGGGGGGGGGGGTGATTGCGTCGGACGCAGGTCGCTATCGCATGAGAAATCTTTTGCAGACTGCATTGCACCGCGCGACGAAGAGCTAGTTAACGCTGCGGTCATTTAACACGCGCCGCACCGGTCTCCACGTCGCGTTTAAGCCTGCAGAGCCGCTGCAGAGGATTCGGGTGTAGATTCGCGGAAGCGAGGCCTCTCCTCGCGCTATCGCCGTTCGCGATCTACAGCCTTGTGTGGTCGCGCCGAGCGAACCCGGTTCACTAGACGTCGATGCGAAGTCATCGCAATGGAGGCTGAACCGTAAACGCCACCCGACGTGATGGTGGAGGTTACCAGGAGAACTGAGTCCACACGTCCATCCCCACAAGACACTGTTATCTTCAAACTGAGACGTGTAAGCACATTGTCAAACCCCCCCACTGGAAAAATATTTAATCTCATAATCTACGCTGTCCTAATGCTGTTGTGCATATGTTTTGATCTGGAGGTGACACGAGCAGATGTTTACATTCAGTGCCGTTTGTTCACATCGCAGCATTTTAACCGCAGGCGTGTGAAGTTTCCCAGTTCGTGCAGCGTGTTGTGCAATAGGAAAACACGCCTTGTGATGTAACTGGTGTTCCTGTTGAGGCCAAGTGTCTGTGCCCTGTATAAAAAAAAAAGATGGCGAGGATTATTTTCTTTTCTCTCAGAGGAGCGGTGCATTCAAGGGTCCCAGAGATGCACTATTCACAGCTGCTCTCAGCCTCCGTGTACTCCACACTGACACTGCAGATACACTCCAGCACACACCTACGGTACCTCACAAGCCATCGCAGCAAAAGGACGCCTGCGTCTCGGCTGTGGAGAAAGTCCGCTGCGCCCTTCCAGGCCTCCGTGTGTTCGCCCTGTTTATGATAACGTCATTGTGTGTGTGTGTGTGTGTGTGTGTGTGTGTGTGTGTGTGGATTGAAGACGGTGTAACACGAGACGTGCTTTGTGCTCCTTTCCGTTTCCGCCCTACCCAGCTCTGCCATGGATAACGTTTCAAGCCAGCGCGTAGCCATCAAGAAAATCAGTCCATTTGAGCACCAGACGTATTGCCAGCGCACGCTGAGGGAAATCAAGATCCTGCTGCGCTTCCACCATGAGAACATCATCGGCATCAACGACATTCTCCGGGCACGGCACATTGACAACATGAGGGATGTGTATCCTTTCATGCTGCACTGTGAACAGTGCGTATGTTATGAACGTATGAACTCTGTTCATAACATACGTGGATTCAAAAACAGTTACAAAACAGTGTTCAGTAGCTTATGAAGAGTAACAGCGGCTTCGTTTTTTCATTTTAGGCGTGTGGGGAAGATGAGGGAATTCAGTGTAACGGTTAATAAGTACTACACTACGCTTGAGTCCTGCTGTTCATCAACCATCTAAACCTGATTGGTTGAGTGATTCAACATGTACCAACATTATTTGGGTCCGTCCTCTCGGACAGTCTGATTGTAGTGATTTGCAGAGCAGAGGACGGATGCTTGGTCTCTTTAGCTGCTCCACTTGGTTGATTTGTCTTGTTGCCGTGGTGATTCCTGATTTTGGGCAGATCTAACCACATCCAGGCACCAGGACCACTTTTCACATTTGGTTCTGTATGCAGCTCAGCTAGCAGCATTATTGCACACGGGGAGCCGCTCACATCCACAAGACTAAGAGTCTACAGCCGTGTGAGCGGCGCTCTGAGGTTCTATTGGTGTTTTAGTGAAACGCTAACGCTTGGCAGGCGTGATCTTTTGACTGTATTCATTTGGCTATAATGACTTATTTGAAAATGCTTTCAGGGCGGCCCTCATGTTTCTCCTGCTGTCGGTGGATGTCGTCCTTTTTTCTTGTCCTCCTTGACCCGCGCGTCCTCTCAGCTACATCGTGCAGACCCTGATGGAGACGGACCTGTACAAGCTGCTGAAGACCCAGAGGCTGAGCAACGACCACGTCTGCTATTTCCTCTACCAGATCCTGCGAGGCCTCAAGTACATCCACTCCGCCAACGTGTTGCACCGTGACCTCAAGCCCTCCAACCTGCTCATCAACACCACCTGCGACCTCAAGGTAAGTGTGTACACACAAACACACACACAGTGGTAACAACTAGGCTGCTCCATTAATTTGCCCCTTTGATCTGCGGACGCTATTTTGGTGATGGTGGATTTTACACAGGAACCTAAATAAAAACTATATGGTTATGCTTTTTACAGCAAATAGATTTGTACAGTTGTGGACATCCCACACTTACATGTTGTACATTTCATATAGGTGTCAAACATTCCCTCTGACTGAGTTTTGGATGCTGGTTAAAAAGGATATTTTTTTATAATCTTGCACACATTGTGCTTATTTTTATTAAGCAGTTTGAGACCAAAACCTTTGTTTGTTTTTAAGTTGTAAGTTACGGCGCTCCACAATATTGAAAAAGCATCTCAGGAATGTTGTATGTGGCCAATGGCTTGACCTCAGCTCTTTGTTGGTCATGAACCCTCCCTGGCCAGGGAACGGTTGAATTAGAAAATGTAAACCCTGCATCAAAGTAGTTATTGGCACATTTTGTCTTTTAAAAAAATCTGCAAATGTTCTTTTATCCAACACGTGCTAGTTTGGGTTTCCGGCTCAGTCAGTGGAAACCTAATTGTGCGAAAACATAAGATGTTTAGTAAAATGTTGTACATTTGGAAAGTAACTACAGGTTAACAGGGTGGATTAAATAACTAATTGATCTTGACATGGCATACTGACATCAAGATAATTACTTTTTGTATTGCAAGCTTTCTCAAAATATTGCGCTTCAATATGCAAACGATGCATTAAACAATGCTGACTTTTGGTAAATGGAGGAGAAACCCATTGACAAAGTAATTCAATAATAATCTAAATGTGTATTTTTTAGGTCCTGCGGTTATAAAAGCAAAAAACCCAGAAACTGTTTTTGTTTGTAGTATTGTGTGTGTTTCTTATCTGCTCTTCAGGTCAGTTTGTTCAGTTGGAGATTCATTTAAGCCCTTTATTATTATTAATTATGGCAATTTTTCTTTTCTTTTTTTCCGTGAAGTGAATCCAGCTGTAGCAAAAGCTTTAATATGAGCCATGAGGGTTCTCGTTGCCGTGTTGAACACTTTTGAGCTCTCATCAATCCCTGGATTAGTCGATCATGTGGGAGCAGTGAAGAACAAAGGCAGCTGCTTTCTGACACATTCCACTCCATGGAAATCTAAATAAACCCTTATTACAGCAGCAATATGTTTCATCTGCTACTTTGTACCTCTGAACAAAAAGTGCCCACTTTCTCCTCTCGTCTGTGGGCATTGTGCAGAGCGCTACTCTCCTGCAACATTTAACAGGCTCCTGAGTTTCCTGCAATTTGGTATTTCCAGTAAACCGAAACATCTACAAAATGTCAAAATAACGCCTCAAGATTTAGAAAGCCGAGCGGGAGGAATACAGTTTGAGACAAGCGTTAAGCTTTGAACTGTTACCGCTGTGTCTGCAGAGGCTCCTCTAGTCTCAGGAACGTGACCCGCCTGACCCGTCTATGAGCGTCTGACCTCTGACCCTTCATGCCACCCTCAGATCTGTGACTTCGGCCTGGCGCGGATAGCCGACCCCGAGCACGACCACACAGGCTTCCTGACCGAGTACGTGGCCACGCGTTGGTACAGGGCTCCGGAAATCATGCTCAACTCAAAGGTGCGTGTGAGGAGCCCATGTGGACTCGTGTGTCGGAATGGAAATCCCTTCAGCCCGTTGACCGTTTGGACTATAACGCACGTTTGTGTCTCAGGGCTACTCCAAGTCCATTGACATCTGGTCAGTGGGCTGCATCCTGGCTGAGATGTTGTCCAACAGGCCCATCTTCCCTGGTAAACACTACTTGGACCAGCTCAACCACATCCTGGGTGAGTTTCACTCAGTTCTACAATACGTTAACACTGTTTGTAGAACCTAGTGTGGTTTTTGTATTTGCGGGACGATCAGCCACGTTTGCATCCTCTCTGATTTTTGTTTGGTTGTTTTTTAAAGCATTTTTACATGCAGTACATATACACTTTTTAGAGTTTTTCACTTGATTTAATTTTTGACGGGTGATACCAGGCCGGGCTGAAAATGGGCCGATCTTCAGCCATGTGGTAAAAAAAAAAAACTCTCTCTCTCTCTCTCTCTCTCTCTCTCTCTCTCTCTCCTCTGTGCAGGCGTCCTTGGCTCTCCATCTCAAGACGACCTGAACTGCATCATCAACATGAAGGCCAGGAACTACCTGCAGTCCCTGCCTCATAAACCCAGAATCCCCTGGGAGACGCTCTACAAGGCGGACACAAAATGTAATGGCAGCACACCCCGCTCATATATTTACGGCAGCAAACTCTAACCTAGTGACCCAACAAGTCCGGGTTCCTCTGTGGATGTGGACTAAAAGCAGCAACAAAGGGTTTTTATGTCTGTCACTCAATGGGCCCTTTGTCTTTTTAGTCGTGGTGTCCTGTGACAGACACTCAAGAGCCCCATTCTACCACCTATAAACCTGAAGAATCGTGTTTCTCTAACAGGCTTTTAATGTGTGATTTCGCTGATAAGCTGTACAAAGCTGCTGCATGAGCTTCTTTTGTTTGTTTACTTCCATTAAGCACGAAGGTGAGAGTGACGTTAAGAGCTTCAAACAATTACTATAACTAAAAGTGGTGGTAGACTTCACTGTGCAAAAATGTCGTAGTATTATTAACTTGTATATTAAAATGTCTGATTATCTCTTTTTCCACCCATGCAAAGACAAAGTTTAATCCGAGAGGTTCTAGTCTGTTTTCTTCAGAAGGAGCAACAGCCTTTTTTCTCTTGTTTTGGCTCGTCTGTTCTACTCAATGTCATTGGTGGGCTTTAAGTGAATACTTAGAAATCTCTTTCAATGTGACACTGTACTAACTGAAGCTCTCCATTCATCTGACGCAGCTCTGGACCTGCTGGGTCGCATGTTGACCTTTAACCCCGTGAAGCGCATCAGCGTTGAGGAGGCACTGGCTCATCCTTACCTGGAGCAGTACTACGATCCCTCCGACGAGGTACGCAGTGATGGAGGCTTCAGTTCACGCTGATTTGTCACTTGTTAGTCTCGCAGCTGCAAAAGGCAATCGGCGAGAATAACTTGCATCTGGCATTCAATGTGGGTGTAACCTTTGTGTCACTATTACACATAGTACGTTAAAAGCATACTTTATATTATATTCCATTTCTCCCACTAGATCCGCCTAAATGCTGCACAATGTTTCTTTAACCAGTGGGGAGCCGATTGATATTAAGAGTAATTGTGAAGCCCTGGCCGGATCCAGCCACAGATTGTCCCTGATGCTGGAGGCAGAACGGCCATTTAGAACAAACATGTTTGTCATTGTTTTCAATCGTGGTGCGAGATTGAATTGTGAGCCTTTTCCTGTGTTGTGCCGGGAAGCCTCTTAGCTCCGTTTGGAATGCAATTAGTCTTAAGTTTGCTGCAGGGAGGTTAAACAACGTAATCACATCTTGGTTTAGGTCAGCGCGGGCCGCACGAGGTCTCCTGCCTTTCCCACAGCTGCAGTCTTAAAGCCTCACGTTTATAGAAGTTGCCTCCGCCCCTTTTATTTGTTATACATGTTGCAACAATGCGCTTCTTAATCTTGACACCTTTCCAGCTCTATTCTTAGCTTTAGCAGGGGCGTCAAAGTTGTTTTCTGTGTGTTTTCGTGCATAGCCGGTAGCAGAGGAGCCCTTCACTTTCTCCATGGAACTGGACGACCTTCCCAAAGAGAAGCTGAAGGAGCTGATCTACGAGGAAACCGCTCGTTTCCAGGCAACCTACCAGGGCTCCTGAGACACACGGGTGCGTAACGCTTCCTTAGCAGTTAAACACACACGCTCACACCGACTTCACACTCGCCCACATCGGTTCTGCTGGTGTGAGTTGCGAAAGGCAGGTGTATTTGAGAAGATGTTCCCAGGTGTTAGTCTGAAGTACTTCACCTCCTGATGACGCTGCAGCTCAAGCTACTTTGCTGGTTGGAAGTCTTAAGGGGTTTAAGCTAATGGTAAGCGGCTGAATTGTGGCTTTCTTGCCACAGCTTGGTCCGTTGGTACATCAAATAGTATTTGGAGGGGAGGATTGGTGGCGCGGCTTGCAGTAAACGAGTAGAGATGTAAAACCAGCATGAGGAGAACAGCGTCTGATCTTGTTTTTTTTCCTTAGAAATCAGAACAGGGGTTTATTTCATCATGTTGACACCAACTCGCTATCTCTTAACTCTTAGTTAAGTTAAATTTAATAACCTAAAAGTTACTGTTGGGAACTTGATCTACAATTTCTTTTGGCGAATGGGAAGTTAGAGACTGACTTCATTTAATCTATTCACAACGTGGACCTAAGTGCATTTATTTTTCTTACCTCTTTTTAGCCTTAAAGAGGGACAAAGCCACTCGGAGGCTTTGAACGAGAAGACCCCAAACGAAAAAACGCATCCTCAAGAAACCAACAAAAAGAGAAAACAAACGAACATTTAACTGCTTATCTTTCCATTTCTGCTGCAAGAGAGCTAAGTTTAACTCAGATTACTGTGGTTGGGTGGGGCGGTGGGGTCCGTCGTACTCGCACTGTTTCAGTTGTCCATGTTGGACTCGCCCTCCTCTCACCTCACATTGGTTTTCCTGTTAAAAGTTTCCATCTCCAGCAGCTCTCTGTCCCCCTCCTGTGCTCATCAGACCTTCTCTCCCCTGCAGCCGATCAGTCTGAGCGCTCTCGTATAAACTACTGTATTAACCTGCACCATAACTCCCTTGTCCTGCTCCATGTGACTTATGACCTGGAAAAAAACCGAGGGCTAAGAGAACGTGGATTCTAATCGGGTGTATGTGTATATATATATACATACATACATACATATCTCATATATATATTAAGCTTTTTTTCCCCTCTTTTTTTTCTTGAAAGTGTGCTCGTCAGCGTTTTTGTTTGTACACTGTTGTTCGAGTGATTCCAGATCAGTTCAGAGTCGTATCTGTATGTTTTTGGGGTTTATATTTGCAAGTCTTTTTTTTTCTTTTTTTTTGAGCGCTTTATTTTGAGACAAATATTCAATGTTTTACTGGCATGTTGGCAGGTTTACAGATTCTTTTTTTTGTTTTCCTCTAAAAACAAACTGTATGATCAAATGAATGCATGCATTCCTGAAATCAACCAAAGTGGTAAAGAAAGGCAGAAAACCAAGGAATATTTATCTGTCGATTTCTTGAACTTTAACGCGTACCAAGGGCAGACTAACCTTCATTTTGTAGTTAAGTTACAAATCTTCAAGTTGGTTATATTCAGGAGGATCGAATTAGCGTAGAAAGTAAAACCCATTGCATAGTTTCCGGAGCGTGCTTTTTGTCTTTCACTGGGGACGCAAAACAGCAAGAACTGCCAGAGGGCTGATGTGGGACAGTGGTTTCACGTCGCTGCGTGGTCCACATCTGGCCCCACGACGTCCGGCCGCTGATCCAGTGTCAGCGCCGCGCTCCTGTGCTAAAATCACACCGAGAGGGGAACCGCTCACAGCCCCTCTTGGTCCTTTTTAATTACAGAGCCGAGAAACGCGTTCCACATCGTTCTGGGAAGCTTCTTAGATGCGGTGTAGCGGAGCGCACTTTCCAAAACGAGCATTTTTTCCGATCATGATCTCTGTGTTTTGAAGTGTTTGAATGTAAGCCGCCGGATTTCCTGCAGTCCGTCACTGCAGCTTAGTGTTTTTTACAAGAGCCTCTTCTACGACGAAGAAAAACTGTGTGCCGCTAAAACACCTGGGCCATTTAAACAACTCGCATCTTTCAGACTGTTGTATTTCAGAATAAGTTGTTTCCCAGTTGTCACTTTGACTCGGACATTGATGTCAGCGCCATTTTAAAAAAAACAGGAGAGTCGAGTCCAGGAATGTGTGAGTGCTGTAAAGTTGTTCCTGGCCGGCCGGCGCACAGCGTCCATCGCCACGTCTACCCGCTCTTCTTTGGCTGCATCGCCCCTCCTCTCCTCCGCCTGTGTGTTTTTGTTTTTTTTGCTACCTGTTAACATGCTGGATGTCTATTCTTCAGTGTGGGTGATTTTTAATGTGCATGTGTGATATCTCTGTGTCCATACGTTCAGTCGCTGCTCCCTCCTCTCTCTCTGTTCTGGATGTGACCGCGCTAACGGGGTCCAGCTCAGTCTGCCCTCATTTCAGCTTGTTGCACTGGGACCAGTAGAGAACCCTCACCCGCTCCCCTTTAATGGACCTACACATGCGCTGGAGGCTCTCTCTGGAGGCCTCGGTGCTGATAGACGGATCGATCTGGAGCAGAAACCCTTCGTTTGTTCTGACGGGGCTGTTTTTTGTCAGAAGCCATAGCCGGCACTCTGGGATCCGTGTGAGGCTTCTTTTCTCTTCTCTTCTTCTTTTTGGTGCATGTGGTGATGCGTGTACTTTTGGTTCAACCTCTCGACTCTTGCCACGCTTTACTCAAAGGGCTGCCCCCCCCCCCCTCTCCTCCTACTCTCGCTTCTGTCTGCTTCTCCACGGTGGGACCTTCTAATCCATGTCACTGACTTTGCGCCCACTTTTTCTGCTCCCCTCATTGCCCCCCGACTCCCAGATGGTCACACACGCAGGAAACTCGCATAACTCAATCAGCACGTCTGCACTTTGTCTTTCCAGCCACGCTGTCGCCCCTATGAGGTTGTTTTTGGTCTCGTATCTTCAGCTTTAAGTTTTGCCCGGCGTGTGTGCTTGTGTTAAAGCTCATGGATTGTCTGCAGTTAATGTATGTACAAGTGTTTGTGTATCTGCTCATCAGTAAAATGAAGCCAAGACTTTATTCTTTTGTTGTTGTATATCTGCATGTGTGTGTGTGTGTGTGCGTGCGTGTGATCCTCTCCCTGCAGTCATTTGTGCATTTACATCTGAGATTTTTCTTTTTGACAGGCACAAAAACGTCGCACAGATATCTTGTTTGTGTTTCGTACCTGTGTTTTAGTCACCAGTCAACCGGTTCCAGCTTGCTTTTTTCTTTTTCTCCCTCCAACCGAACCTGCCATCAGACCAAACATCTCTCTGGGTAACCATGGGAACAAACCAAGAGGACCACATTTTGCAATCCTCCTGGCGCGCGCGCGCGCGCGCGCACACACACACACACACACACACACACACACACACACACACACACACACACTTCCTCTCTCTTTCTGAGGAGTGTATCGTGTGTTTGTGAGAAGTTGCACTTAAACACACCAAACATTCACAAAGTATCAACGAGTCTAAAGGCCTGACGTCATACGGCCTCTTTCCAGATATTGTTGTTTTAAATGGCTGTTCTTATTATTGCTATTGTTGTTGGTGAGTTGTTGTGTTTTTCTTTGTTTCGTTTTCTTTTTTGTTTTTTTTACATTAAAGGGAGTTGTATCTTTGATTAATTATTAGGATATTTTTATTTGTATTTTTTCTTCATTTCTCTTAAGGCCGTGATTATTATCGGAAGTGTTCAATCTTTCTGAAACTTTTATTTTCTTTGATTTCCCTCCGAGATCTTGTACGGAATTATTTTAAAAGAAGATAAATGTGGATTGTCAGCGATATGAGTTAGTGAGGGTTATAGTCTGTATATTCTATGGGTATTATGAATTAAACGATTAACAAAGAAACAGAATTATATACATATAATTAAATAAAATTTCCTGATACTGTTGCAACTCTTTGTGGATGCTGTTTTTCTTCTCGTGGTCTCTCTTCCTTCTCCGGTGTCCCCCCCTCTACCACAGAAAGGTGGGACTGTCGGCTTCATGTGAACGACAAAAAAAAAAAAACACCTGCCAGTTAATGACTGAGATTGCAAGTTTCTGCATGTTTTGTCGTCCACATAAGATTTGTAAACGCGCCGCAGTTCACTAGAGCTTCCATCTTGATAAATGAACGGTTACAAAGACCCTATTAGGGAAGAGGAGCAAAACCCGCTGAGTGGCACCGAGGAAAGCGACGTGCAGCAGCGCGCTGCAGCTGGTGTAACGTTAGTGTTTCCATGGCAACACTATTCAGCCACTGTTGCCGCGGTAAATTGCTTTTCAGCTTTAAAAAAAAATCTCTAATGTGTAACTTGTGTCAGACTACAAAGACATTAGTCAGATGGGGAAAAAGGTCATAGTGACTTCAGGACTGAGTTGTGGGAATCAACATCACTGTTTGGCGTCTCACCGTGAAGATCAACTCGCCTTTCCAGCTGTGCAGCTTTCCCACCTTCCTCCCTGACGTGTCTGAGCTTGGCCTCCCCGTCCGACCCCGACGTTCCCAGAATCTTTGGCCGCTGCTGGAACAAATCCCAAAACGGAGAAGTTGGAGCGCGTAGGACAAAAAGAGGACACGCACGCACACATGAGAGAATGCTAGAAAGTCCCACTGAACCACTGTTGTGACGCTCGGCCATTGTTGGTCCAGCTTTGCCGTTGAACCTGAACAATGCAGCTCTTCACTCTGCTGACTTTGTACTGCGTGGGCTTCTGGACGTGTCAATGTGTCCATGTTCTTGTGGGTCAGAGTGGAGTTTACATATCACAGCGCCTCTCCCTTGTCAAATATGCACACGGGCCTCGTGGAAACCACCCGTCCCTCCGTTCACCATCTTGCCCTTTTTGTCTTTCTTAATTGTCAGCTGCGAGCTGTTAATGCGCAAATTGAAATCACCACATTCAATCAGTAAAAGATGGAATCCAACCCACTTACTCATCCTGTGGTGTTGCCGGTGTCAGTTACTGTTGGGATTGCAACATCCAAACAATGTGGCGTGAAGCCAATCCCATGTGCCCAGGTGTGACACACGCAACGAAAGCAGCACAGCACAGAGCAAACCGCGTGGCTTCAGGAGGGGAGAGTGCAGAGAGAGAGGGAGGAAGCAGTCAGGTGAGCTCTGGTTTAAGAGCTGGTGTTTCATTAACATATTTTTACAGCTCCGAGGGTTTGCAGGTTGTGCAGGACGGAGACGGTCTTCCAGTCGGTCCGGTTCTCTCTTATCTGGCCAGAGAGCAGGTTGTCTTCAGTCGAGCTGTCGGAGAGAGCGGGAGATTGAGCAGAGACTCGGCTGGGAGCGAAGGATGAGCGTGTTCCTGTACTTCATCCTCCCGGTTGTGGGTGGATACGCTCTCAGCTCCGTGTACCTGCTGAGGAACCCACACGTTCTCCACAGGAAGAAACGCACCGCTTTTTACTGCACACACATCTCACACAGAGGAGGTACGGACGTCTTTCACTCGCTTTTTTTTTTCTTTTGCTGAAACTTTATAACTCTGGCCGATGAAATATCTTTTTATAAGATCCTGATGAACTCTGAGACCTTGATAGAATATCCTCAGCAGTGTTTCTGTTCCACTGCGTCCGTACTGAGTGACCCTGACAACTCCTGTTTGTGAGCAGGAGGTGGAGAGAAGATAGAAAGCACGATGGAGGCGTTCACACAGTGAGTCCCAAACTCCTCTTTATTGAGCAGGTTTTAGGGTACTCGATCATTCACACGGGGCCAACCGACACCCCAAGTAATCCTCGATGCTTCTGCTCGTTTGAATGCATTTCTCAGACGTTGTATGTAACTGTAGTCACTGACTCTTTTTAAGGAAAATAAGTCTCATTAATGGTTTAAACGTAGGCGCCACAGAACCATCTTTTTTTTGGTTTTATGCAATGTACCTTTTTTCTTTCTGACGTTTTGTGCAATTTGAATTGAATTAAATTAGGTGAGAGACAGCAATTCACAGCAGCTATAACAATTTACTCTGATTCCATTTTTTCTGACTAGCGAGGCAGAGACTGAGCGATTACTCAGGCTTATAAAACGATTTACAGTATAAAAGAGGGATTAGGGAACTTTCCACCTGTCTAAGTTGCGGTCTAATTAGTTTTCCCTGTGGGGTTTTAGATTTACTATCTGACTTTTTCAGGACATGTATATGCATAAACATACTTTTCTACTGAAGTTATGCTGGATGTCGGCAGCCTCCAATGATTTATTGTAGAAATGAAATATAAAACTGTGTCTTCTGTATTAATTGGTTCTGGTGACAAGTCTTGGATGCATTTTAGTTTCCTGTACACTGTTTTACGAGATGACTCACGGTTCAGAAAGCTGGAAGAGTAGAAGTGAACAAAACCGCCGTCACGGTTCAAGTAACAAATGCACACATTCCTCCGTCTGCTCGCCAACAGTGCGGTGGAGCAGGGAACGCAGATGCTGGAGATGGACTGCCACTTGACCCGCGATGGACATGTGGTGGTGTCACATGACGAGAATCTGCTGAGGCAGACCGGCCACGACGCCGACATCTCCTCACTCAACCTCCAGGTGAGAGGCCGGATCCTACAGGGCCGCAAAGGTCACAAGGTCCAGCTGAGACGGAAGCTCCCGCCGAAAGGCAAAGGAGAGAGATTCTCGTACGAATCTTCAATATCTACTTAAATGTGTTGCAGTGTGCCAGCTGCATGCAAAGCCAACTGTTCACTTTAAACTAATAAATACATAAATATAAACGTCTGGGTTTTATACTAAAACGTTCTACCTATATCTGCTTGTTGGCCCTTTTAGGATTTGCCTCTGTACAAAGAGAGCCTGGAGGTGACTTTCTATGAAGGCACGTTCCTCCTCACATTCTCTTGTTGTTGAGCATTGACAAAAATACATTTAGTGAAGAAGTCTTAACCTTAACTGCCACACATCCCGGCTGCAGGTCGCTACAGCAGCGGTGCAGACAGGAAGTTTGCCTTGCTGGAGGACGTGTTCAGGAAGTTCCCTGAGATGCCCGTCAGCGTTGAGATCAAAGAGAACAACCACCAGCTGATTGAAAAGGTCCAGTAAAGCTATACAAAAAGAGCAGTTCAACACTTGTAAAAGATGGTTTCATTATTATGAGACAATGTTTGTCTGTCCCTGCATTATAGAGTTTGCATTATAGATTTTGCATTATAGAGTTTGCATTATAGACTTTGGACTTAAAGTCAACATATCCTGTTTATGAGCATTTTATTGTATATGATAGCGTCAGGTGGCACACCTTTTATGTCGGATAATCCCTTCTCCACGTTGAGTGCCTCTCGTCTGCGTGCAGGTTTCTGACTTGGTCCGACGCTACAACAGGGAAGAGATCACCGTGTGGGCCTCAGTGAAATCCGGGATTTTGGAAGAATGCCGCAGAACGGTACATTGACCACCTGAGGGAGACAAAGATATGTGTAAAAATATCATGGAGAAAAAAATGTCATGGGAAAAAATGTTTTGAAAAAAAAGTCAAAATATGTGAGGTGTAAAAATGTCATGGAAAAAATAAACAAGAATAAAAAAAGAAACTGAATATTAAGTTAAAAAAAAGTAAAAATACATTTTGTCTAAAATATCTTTGAAAACAGTATATTATATTATTATATATATATATATATATATATATATATATATATATATATATATAATATTTTGAAAAATTAATATATGTTGAATTTTTTTCAAAATTCCAAATGTTTTAAGGTAGAAAGTTTTATATACAGTCAAAATATGTTGTTGGAAAATGTCAGGGTAAGAAATATTAGGTCAAAATATTAGGTCAAATAATAATGTGTAAAAGAATTTGGTCACATTTTTCGGGGGAAGAAAAGTTTAATTATGTTAGATTCTCACTTAAAAATACTGTCCAAAAATATGAATTCGAAAAAACGTAATGATAAAATAAGTTTAAAAAAAACATCAGGTCGAAAAATGCCTTTTTTTAATGAGAGCAATGTCTTTGTCCGTCTCTCTCTTCCTCGTAGAACGGCTCCATGCCGTACAGCTTCTCAGGGAGCCGAGGTGTGCTGGTGCTGCTTCTCTTCTACAGCGGCCTGCTTCCCTTTGTGCCGCTGGGAGAGAGTTTGCTGCAGTTCTACCTGCCGCGCATCATCAACAGGTGTGTCTGCATGTGGAGTCTGTGTGTGTGTGTGTGTGTGTGTGTGTGCGTGTGTGTGTGTGTGTGTGTGTGTGTGTCGACGTGAGTGTTGTCATGCAGCAAACTGCTCCGTCCCTCGGACTCTATTCTTTACTCTGAGGAGAGAGAAATGTGTCACAATACAGACGCGTCAGTTGTTTGTTACTTTGTGTTCTGAAGGACGTACATTCCTGAGGAGGGCATCCTGAGGAACAAGCTGGTCATCTCTTTGTTGGAGAAGTGAGTAAAGTTTCCCGTGGCTTTGTTTTGATGTAGAAATCTTTGAATGTTCCTGCTATGTTGACAATGCTTTTACGCAGAATCACGTGTTGTGAAATTCTGTATATTACTTTAGTGCTATTTTTGTACAAACCAAGCTATTAATGAATTCATTTATTGCTGCTGTCATTCCAGAGTCACAATGAGGAAGAGTCTGTTCAAACACCTCTCCGCTCGGGGGATCCAGGTGTGTAACAACATATGTTGGATGAGAATAGGAAACACCGCAGGACACTGATACTCAGAAGAACAAATCAAACACGAGCTGTTGGTATCCATTGGTATTGAACCCTCACTGGACACCTTTAAATACTACATCCTACGGCGGAAGTTGAAAAGAAATAAAACTTTGATTTTATCAAAAAAGCAAAACTTTGCTTCTTGATTCAGAAGCAAATTATTTTGCCAAAGATAGAATATCAAAGAGAAGATAAATTCTGCAAAATAAGTCAACTAAAATAGCAAAAGTAATATCGACAGTGTTATTTAAAAGCCATAAAAGTAATATTGTACATGACGCATTTTTATGTTGAAAATCCTGTTTGAATGAGTGTCTCTCAAATCCTAATTCCCAGACGTCAAGCAAACAATTGGCAGATTTTTTCTGCCTGTGACTGCAGCCTCGGCTGTGGGACCTGATTTAACCAAAACACCCACTGGTCTGAAGCACAAGACAAGTCACTATTTCAGGACAAACAGTGAGGCTCACACAGCCACTCTGCGTGTTGATGTCAGTCCCCTCCGCTGGGACGAGGTCACTCCTGTCGTTCGCCTGTTAGAGGTCAACGAATCGTCTGAGCATGAAAACAATCAGTCACATGTCTTGTCGGCCGCCGAGGGCCTCAACCCATCTGAATGTTCATGAGTGATTCAGAGGCGGCCGTGAAGAAAAGCTTGTCCTCTCTCGTCAAACAGAGAACCACATCCCGCGAAAAATGCGGGCTAGTGTGACAGTTAGACGTGTGAACACCGTGAGACAATCGTCTGTGATGCAGCACGACGGCAACAAAGCAGCCTGAAATACACGTCGGCATGAGAACAGCACGTCTCGACCCGAAAGATTGTCACAATGTTGCCGCCTCAGTTCCTTGTCCCCGCCGCAGTGTGAAGAAGCGTCGCTCCCAGCTGTCGCTTCAAGCCGACGTCTGCTTTATTTTGTTGGTCACAGCTGAGACAACAGCTGCCCGTCAAATTTGGGACAACTGGGTGTTTGTTTTATTGATAGTCAAGTACTGTTGCTCAAAACCGCGGGACAGATGACAAAACAGGACTCGGTCTCATCTTAGCTTTCATCCTTGATGTTTTGTTCACATCAGCTTTACTCCCCCCCTTTTTTTTTTTTAGAAGCTGAAAAAACCCATTTGAAGTTTATTTTTTGTATCGGAGGATTACGATTGACTAATGCATCTTTAATTGCAGGTGCATTTGTTCGTGTGCAATAAAGACGACGACATTAAGGCTGCATTCGAAGTCGGGGCCACAGGCGTGATGAGTGACTACCCGACTCTTCTGTCCAGCTACCTCTGCAGAAACCCGAGGCCTCGCGCCGCAACGACAGAGGAGAACCCCGGCGCTCTGTGACGATTGAGTGAAGAAAAGACTTTAAAAATACAAGAAGTGTGAGACACTTTCCCTCCATGTGACAATTGGTCAAGTTGCTTGTCTATTAAACACCATGCGCTTGGAACAAAACTATCAACTCAATCTCTCACTGTAGGTACGATGTTCTGCTGTAGGGTGGTCCGTGTGTCAAACAGCCCAGAGCCGGTGATTTATCTGTCGGGGTACATTTTTCTCTTCTATTGGTGCACATGGGTCATAAAACAAAAAGTAGTGACAAACCAGCAGGAGCATTTGTACTCAAACACACACACATGGATAAGATAATAATAATGATAAAATAGTAGGAAGAATCATAGTAATTTAACCTTAAGTTAGAGCACAGCCCCACTGTGACTGAGTGGTTTAGGACTTTTATCGCTGTGTTTATGAAGGAAATGACACGGTAGCTAGAAGTGAAGATCCAACCAGCTGCACCAGAGAGAAATTACTTTGTTTCCACTGTGATGGATTTTATTTTCTGCCATTGTTTGATTGGTTTGAGTCAGCGGTGGACCTTAGGAATACACGATTTGAGCTCAATTCACCTGGATGCATGCTTTTATGTCATTCATTTAGTGTTTAACACAGTCACTAGTGTTCAGGCCCACATCAACACAGGGTTTATATGTGCAGTTCGCTTCACTTGTGTCCCTGTTCTGCAAGGTCCACGGTCAAAGTCCGGCTGCGCCGCTGTGAGAATAAACAACCACTCTGGCGGTGAAACAAAGGCTGCATTTTTCTGACCTGCTCTGCTTTGCACTGTGACAAGTGAGTGAATGTATTATTAGTGCAGGGCAGGCAGGGAAGTCTTTAATAGAGTGAATGCAAAGAGCAAAGGTTTAAATAAGTGACCCAGAAGAGATAAAACGTTCTTGAGAACACACAACCAGCTCTGAAGCAATATTAGGTGTGCCTTAAATCCATATGATACACTAAATAATGGGACTACGTCACTATTTGGGGAAATAAATCAAACCTTTATTAATTATTTCTTTGATCAACAAGGAACCGATCATGAAGTGTCGTTTTTAGGGCTAATTAAAATGTTTTAGTACAACAACCAAACCATCCACACATTGTGAGAGTTTGACCTGTTAGCAGCCAGTGTGAAGCACTTGTATCCCAAATCCACCAGCAGGACGCAATAAGCCACTAATAGTCGCACCGACGGCCATGAAGGGCTCATGTGAGGTCGAATCTGATTGGTTGACCCACATTCGACACGTCACCCGCCGCCTCCCATTGGTCGACGGGGATTTGTTTTGCACTCTTCAGACTTCCTCCTCGGCGAGTTTTTTCATAAACAAAACCGCATTTTTCCCTCCGTTCGGGGCCGCAGCGTTTCGCGCCCGCGTTGAAGGATCCCGGCTCCCGATTTTAATAACCGAGCACCGCGGAGGAAGCTGGAAGTTCCGGGTTTCCGATCCGAAGAAGCGACGCGGGGTGAAAGGGTTCCGCGCTGCCCGTTTGTTGTCTTTGTCCCCGACTCGTCAGCTGGAAGCGACACCCACCTGCCGTCCGCACGCTACCTGCTGTTGTTGTTTTTTTTAACTAGATGCTTTTTCCCCTGTCGGGCATATTGGTCCACTGCGCAGCCGGCGAGGAGCTTGTTTTTCAGGTGAGTCGAAGGACACCTGGGATTTCCCTGCATTGCGTATCCGAGCTGCTGCATGAGGGTAGCTAACGTTAGCCAGCCAGCTAGCCCGCTCCGGGCTGCTGGCCGATCGCTCTCCTGCAGCGGACGGACTCTACGGGCCCGCTGGCGTCGTTTGTTTGCCCACGGGCAGGGTCGGTGGGGCTAAACGCGGGGCATTAACGCGCTGCAAGGGCTTGACATGTAGGTCGTGTCATCCGAGTGCGTTTAACGAGGCTCTGGTTGTTTGTGAAAGCTGTTCTTTAGGCAGGAAGCAAGGTGCCCGAGCCGTGTTTGTGTTGCCGTGTCCACTGCAAACACGACTCCCCGCCGCGTGCTCGTTTAGGGAGGCGCAGGCTTTGTCCTCCGTTATGTCGTCAGTCTGTGATCCAGAGAAGACCTGATGCACGATTAACGTTACGGCACATGTTCATCCTACTTGCATAATAGTTCTATGTCACCAAGTTGTTACGGCTTTTTGTTTTTCAGCTGCAATTCTACGTGTATGTTCCACTAAATTGTTCTCTGAAGTGTGTGTAAGTACATCTAAAAGGGATTTGATGAGGATTATGTAAACGTACTTAGCCAATAAAGCTGATTCCAATTGCAACTAAATATGCAGTGTACCTTTTGTCTGCAGATATGAGATTAGATAACATGATTTTCAAAAAAATAAATAATCCGGGACATATGTTATGAAACTAAATCCAAATTGATTGTTTGTATTATCAGATCCTAAAGAAAGTGGTGGGGTCGTAAATCACATCTAATCATTTTGGTTTATATACTTTTATGTCATAATGCATTTTTGACTAACAGTGATTCCTAACATCATTTTTTGTTCTCTTTTTGGTCAATAAAGCGTGAATGCCAGTAGCAGTGTCTTTTTCTAATAATCACTTCATTTAATGGTTCAAGAGTGTAAAGCAGCAACCAGTAAAACATGTCCAAAATACCAAATTGATTGTTAATGAATGTATTGTGATCAGCTCCAGCATCAGTTTGTTTACTTTAAGTTTTAAGCATTTTACAGCTTTTATCAGATTTGTTAACAGTGTAAAACCCGTATGTGTCTAAACGCTTTCACTTTCTCTCTGAGTGCTGAAGTTTAGTGACCAACAACCATCTTGCTTCCTTCTTCCCTCTTCGTCCTCAGACATGGTGAAGCTGACGAAGGCCAAGACGTTCCAGGCTTACCTGGACTCCTGCCACCGGCGCTACAGTTGTGTGCACTGTCGCGCCCATCTGGCAAACCATGATGATCTCATCTCCAAGGTCGGCACGCCACCTTTTTTGTAGATAATAATTCCGGTGCAACAAAGCACCGCCCAACGACTCGGATGGTTTAGAAAGTAGATCAGCTGGAAAAACTGGATTGCCTTAAGTTGCACATAGTATTTATGTTGTGTTGCAATTGTGACACACAAAGCATTTCTCCTTATTTTGTTGTTCATTTCCTTTTAGTCTTTCCAAGGAAGTCAAGGCCGAGCCTACCTCTTCAACTCTGTGTAAGTATTTTGTTTTTAAATGTTCGCACAATGAATGTAGAAAAGCAGCTACGGCTATTTATAGTTTAGGTTTCCAATTGTATTTTTATCTCAATAACTGCTGTAGGAGGGTAAACAGGGACTTTATGCTTTCATTATTTTTTACTACCGTTTCAAATCTTTTCCGATTAGATTACGTGTTTCTGTGGGCAATAAAACCAAAATAATTGAGTGAATGTGTGATCTTCTTTGTTTCCCAGAGTATCATTTTACTAGTAAAGTTGTCCATGAAAACAAATTCCCAGTATCAAGCATGTTTAGCACAAACCACATTACCAGATAATTGGATTTTCTCTTGAGTGAACTGAATGAACCTTTGAGTTCAATTCACTCCCACTACGGGTCAGAAACACACGCCTTAAATAAAGCACTTCATCTAACTCCGAGGTTTAAATCCAATAAATGCTGATCATCCGTTTTAGTCAAACTGATCCAAACGTCGTCTTGGAAAGGGTTCTTCCCCGTGACCGTTTAATCCACTTAAACTGAAAAGAAGCAATGTGGGACAGTAGGTCGTCTGCTGCGTTACGGGGTGATGGGAGTAGTTTGATTACCGCGACTCGGAGAGGAGCTTCTGTTTGACGGCGCCGCGTTCGGTTTCAGGGTGAACGTCGGCTGTGGTCCTGCGGAGGAGAGGCTGCTGCTCACGGGGCTTCACGCAGTTGCCGACATTTACTGTGAAAACTGTCACACCACGCTGGGCTGGAAATATGTAAGTTAACTTTTACAACTTTTGGGGGGGAAGCAAACGTTGTCCCTCATTGGACCTGTTTGGACATTTAATGATGTCATATATTGTATATCATCTAGTCTTAATGCTCTTTTAATGAGAATAGTACATGGTGGTTTGTGCGCATGATGGAACTCATGTGCTCTAATAAAATATTTTCTCGTAACCCTTTTATTCCCTCCTGCAGGAACAAGCCTTTGAGCTTAGTCAGAAGTACAAGGAGGGGAAGTTCATCATCGAGCTGTCCCACATGATAAAGGACAACGGCTGGGACTGAGAGGGAGACCCTCGTCTTTCATCATGACTTTTTTTTCAAAGGTTGCATCCCCCTCGACATAAAAGGGTTCCAGTGTAGCTTCCTCATCCCGCGTACGAGCCATCGCCGTGTCACACTTTCACTTCGTGCGGCTTCGCCAAGAATAGCATGTGATGCCTTATCTTTTTCTGCTGTTCATGTTTCCCCAGTGACCTCAACAACACGTTTGCTGGTCTTGCTATCCAGATTGCTAGCGGTGCTGGGACACGGACCGAATGAGTGCAGGGTTTGTGTGTGTGTGTGTGCGTGCGTGCGTGAGAAAGGCTGGGAGACATAGTCACACAGGGAGGAGTGCGTGTTGGATTTTAAAGCGTGCGTTTGAGTGATGAGCGCTTCAGTCTTGCTGTGTGGGGACGAGGCCACTGCTAGTCAAATAATCTGACCGTACAAATCAGACGCAGGTATTCGAGGGTTTTCCTCCCTGCGTTTAAGGTGAACGTTTAGAGACATCCGGCCCCAAACTAAGAAAAGTATACAGGCCTGTTTGACCCTTAGATCACTTTGGAGTGATGACAAGTCGTGGAAATGCTTAAAGCAGTAAGAGTTTATTTTTTATTTTATTTTTATCCGTGACATTCATATTTTTTTATGGTAAGATCTGAAACAGTTCAGATTTAGCTGAAGGCAATCAGGATATTGAATTAGTTATCTTAAAGCCCACAAAAGTCTCTTGCAGGAATTCTTAAATCTGTATTTTAGTGTGAATGGAGTGCGTGTTGAAATGTCTTAGCTGGATGGTGTAGAAGCGAGGGGTCGACATCTAGAGAGACATCTCCACTTTTACTTAATGCTGATAAGAATTATCCTACATGTGTTTGTGTGTAGTCTAATACGAGCTGCCCCTACCGATCCATTCACTCAATCGTGTTAGAGGAAAGTGTGGTGAGGACTATGTAGCATATTTATGGTGATTATTTTTATTTCTGCTTCTTCCATTAAATGTGTATTTTAACCTAATCTTTCATTAAAATACAGTGTGTCTGTAACCTGCGGTCACTTCTTTTCCTTGTGATATGTTATGTAATCTTGCATCTGGTTCACACACACACACACACACACACACACACACACACTTTAATTATAGATAATAAACACAAGCATAAAGTCCAATCTTAAAGTCTTGAACTGATCCTCTTTCTTTTGGCATAATTTTTACTTAAATAACTGATGTTTGTGCCTTTCTAGTGGTGTTGGAACAAACTGAGGGTCATGATTTTCGTTTGTAATTTATTATGAAAAAATGTTGTTCAAGCTCTTGTTTACAGTGAGGAAGAGATCCAACAGGAAGCCAGTCAGTAAATCTGCCAACAGATGGCGATGTGGATACTATATATTGCTCTGCCAGTCAGAAGCCTTACAACAATCTTTTTTAAAATTGCACATAATTTCCGACACGAGAAGCTACATGACACCATAAGTGATGTATAATGAATGACATTTAACAACATCTAGCCTTTACAGCCGCTTACACCAGATGCTGTATAATATTTAAGAACATTAAGTAATACTGATTTTTTTTCTCTCATGTTTATGTTGGTGTTTTATTTTAACCAACAGTGTTTTATAATCCTTTATTTTTTTTAGTCTGGGTTGTTTTTTTCAGTTCTGTTTGTATCGCCTATTTTCTTTCTCTCTGGAAAGCCCTTTGAAACCTTGGTACAAATAGTGCTATAAATTAATTTAATTAATATGAAAATCTAATTATACATTATATTTTTTCAAGAAGATGAAAGATGGAAAGTGCAAAATTTAATTTACAGAACTTCTGTACAAAAGAACTATAAAAATATGTTACGATGAATTATGTATAATACATAATTATTAGATTCTAAGTGTGACCTTGACATGCAGATCAAAAATGTGTCTCTGAGGTCACTCAATCAAGACGGTCGTACCTTTTTTGACTGAGGAAGGTTGATTTAAATTGACCTCTCCTATCCAGGGTATTCCATGCTGAACAAATAGATCTACAATGAAGCTGTATGGGAGAGTGGCTATATGCTGGATATTATGGCCACTGATACTAGGCCTCCATATATTATTTTGTTATTCCATTTTTGAATTAAAGAGTAAACACAGTATATATGGTTGCTTTAACTACTTGAAATCTATACTAATAAGCCAGCATGTGGTAAACTAGCGTTTTAACTGCAGTCAGTACACTTGCAGCAGAAGATACCATAGTTTAGCCTGCACAACGGTACAAACTACTCAAACAATATACTATAGTATTAAAATGGATGTGGGTGTAAAAAATAATTCAAAATTACAATCAAATGGGAATAATTTGTACAGTATATTTTAGGGTGCGTTAAACAATAGGGGTTAGTCATTTTCGCCCCGTTTGCGTCGAGCACCCCCATGTCCACTCAAATGGATCGTTCCGAGATGGTTGGTCATGTGACTTTTTCCGTATCGCCATTTTCCTCTTCCACACCGGTGCTCTTTGCTGTCAGTTACGCTGTCGCCCCCTCTCAGTGTATTTAACCTGTACGCGGCGGGCGGTGAGAAAAGAGGAAACCTGAACGAAAGCAGAAGATAGTCTGAACTGTAGCTGTGTCGCCCCGAGAGAAGTGCGAGAATGTCTTCTGAGGAGGCCCCCGAGTACTCGCCTTTCTTCGCTGTGATGGGAGCCTCCGCGGCCATGGTCTTCAGCGGTAACTACAGCAGCTCCTTCATCCGACTTCTCGACCTTTTAACGTCACGTTCGCAACGCTAACCGCCGACGAGCGGAGACAGATGCACGATTATTGTTTCCATATCCACGACAACGCGGGGTTTGTGTTGAGAAAAACGGTGTTGGGTGTTAGCGGAGTCCGTCACGGCTCACGCACACACGCACGCACGCGAACACACACACACACACACACACACACACACACACACATACCTGGCGAGGATGGTTTCCACCGAGCTGCTGCTGACCACCACCGTTAGCTCCTCACGAAGCTAACACTGTAGCTAGCCACCTCTTCTATTAGCCCGGTTATATCACATCGAGCGGTGATGCTGCCTCCCTTGGTGACGCAGACTCTTTGAGGTGGCAGCTGCGTCGACCAGGCCTTCTTCAATCTGTTATTTAGGCACAAGGAGGTCTAGATCCCCCCCCCCCCTCAATTATGCGACGTGGACGATTTATTGTGGGGATTAATGCCAGTCATGTTGCTCATCGGTTTACTGTGTAGTGTCACAGGAGGGCCAGCATCTAGGCCCAAACTCGAGTGAGAGGAATTACGGGAATATCCATCCATCCATCCATCCATTCATCCATTCGCGAGGCGGGGTGCACCCGGGCTGTGAGTGAGGAAATAACGCAGTAGACATCGTGGCTTCTAAAAAATATATAATTATTTTTTGAAGGGGATTTACAGTCAATCAGATGACGTCAATTCCTGCAGACACCCGTCACTATAATGTGGAAATCATTGATGTTATTACCACATCAGATGATACTTTTTTTTCTCCTCTTTTTTTATAAAATACAAACAAAATAATACAATCGGTTCCTCTACGACTAGTCGTTGCGACGACCCTAACAAGTTAAATGTGTTCACAGTAAGATGAACATAAATACCAGAGCTCTCTCGCTATTGTACATTTAAAATCTGCCATGTGAAACTATGATTAATTTTGATTGCGGTAACATCAGGCCATTTCGATATGCCATCAAAACAAACAGCAGCCCCACTCGCGTGAATTAGTGAATGTGTCTAAAACGCTACATTTCATTATGATGATGATGACAAAGGAACTTTGTTTAACGTGGATCGGTGACATTTGGCGACAGCCAATTGGTTCAGTGTGCCTGTAGTTCAATCCAAACGTTTTTTTTTGTTTTTAAGTTGGTGTGATCGAAATCTGTTTTAAGGTGCATCTGTCACACACTAAAGCACAGACACCTAGACAGCGGTGTCATTTGGGCTTTACAGCTGTGAATCATAAATATAAAACTTTTCAACTTTCCTGCTAAAGTTTTACAATAGTCTTCCTATTCTCAATAGTCAGTCTAGGATTTCTCAATCAACTCAATCAAGTGTTTGTGTCAGACTGATGACCTGAACATGTGATGTCCATCCTCAATTGATGTCCATCAACATGTGATGTCCATCCTCAATTATGGGATGAGAATAATACAGAGAAGAGTCGCTTGGTACAGAGATGTTAAAATTATTGCAGAAAATGATTGGTTGCTTATTCACACGATTCTTGTAGTGAGTCAATCGGCACGGAGCCCATGCAAGTGTTAAGACACCCACTGCAAGTGAAAAGTGGTGCAGTGATTTTATTTAATTGCTTCTGCTAGTTTTTATGATAAGCAGGTAACATCTCATTTGTAGGGTTGTCATAGAAACTGAGGGACAGCCACCCGGTGGCAAAGAATAACACAGACTGGTCTTTGTCTTTTTTTATTTGTCATTGTTCTGCTTGTGGTGCTGGTCAACTATCTGTAGAGAAGGATTACCGTGTTGAGTAATTGTAGCTGTTCAATGGGTCACAAACCTGTCTTATTGTCTTTGTTTGCACAGTTAAAACACTAAAAGTAAATAAATAATAAATAAATCAAATGGGAGGCAGCAAGCCTCCCATATACAAAGTTATTTCAATGCAAAATATTTTGCATAATTGCAAAAATCAGATAGCAAGATAACAGAATCATATAAATGGAATGGATTAATACAAAAACAATTAAATCAAGAGATACAAATGCAGGCCTACTGTATTGTTTTAGATTGAGCAGATATACTGAACATACACTCGGTGATGTGCAGATTGATTACAGATGTGTGACAAGCCGATATCAGTGAGATGGAATGTGAGTAAAGAGGGAAACCTAAAGTACTCAAGTATTGTAATGGGTGAGTTTTTATGCATTAGCAGACTAGAGAGTACAACTATTAATAATACATTTTTTTAAAACATGTTTCAGAAAAGGTTTGAGAGGCTAACTTGGATATTAGGGGCGCTATTGTGATTTGCCGGTACCTATCTTTTTAAAAATATCTTTCTGGTTCCTCAGCCATATGCGGCCGGTCAGAGAAAACTGTCAATCCATAATTCCGTTTTGTCTTCCACCTGCACGTTGAGTCTGAAATCGATTTAGTCTGTGTTCAATATTCTCACTGAGGCAAATCTATTATCTTGTCTGGGTTGAGTTTTTATTCATTTACTTTTGGTCAGAAATTGCTTTCCAAGGGAAGAATAAACACAGTGCTGAATTAACAGGAAGTATCTCCTCTTGTATACAGCATTCGGAGCAGCGTATGGGACGGCGAAGAGCGGCACAGGCATCGCTGCTATGTCTGTGATGCGGCCAGAGCTCATCATGAAGTCCATCATCCCCGTGGTCATGGCTGGTATCATCGCCATCTACGGGCTGGTGGTGGCTGTGCTGATAGCAAACAACATCTCTGAGAGAGTCACCCTTTACAAGTAAGTGGAACTTCATTTTTTGTCCGTCTGTAACCTCATGGCTCTGCATTTTTAATACACTGCCATAATCTGCTCACGTCTTTGGTTTCAACTTCAGTGTAGCGGGTTGGAGGATTCTGATGAAGCTGAATATGAATTCTTTGATCTGGATCTACTTCGTTGTATTATCGGTGTCAGACGGTATGACCGTGTGCCATTTGTCTCCCAACAGGAGCTTCCTGCACCTCGGTGCCGGTCTGAGCGTGGGCCTGAGCGGTCTGGCGGCCGGGTTTGCCATTGGCATCGTGGGCGACGCCGGCGTGCGAGGCACCGCCCAGCAGCCCCGGCTTTTCGTGGGCATGATCCTGATTCTCATCTTCGCCGAGGTGCTGGGGCTTTACGGCCTCATCGTGGCTCTCATTTTATCTACAAAATAAATGTCCGCATCAAACACCATCTCATTCATTCCACATCGAAGCAGCAGCAACAACAACAAATAGGAGATTTTCACCTACTTCCATTACACCCCGCGGGTCTGACAGGATGGGATGGCAACAGAATCACCTCAGCGGTCTCTTTGACTACTGTGTCCTCAGTAGACGTGATATGTCCATATCGTTTAAAGCCATCTGGTTGTGTCAGGTCTTGTGAGAACTGAACGGGCATGAAGATGTGCAGTGGTTGTTGTGGGATGATGTGTGGACGGTCTGCTTGACTTGTTGTCTGATCTTAACCTGTACAGTGAACCAGCGTCCCTCCACCCCTGTAAATGTAGTAACCAGTCTGTGCTGTGAGTATCAACGTTTATCCCCCCGCCCATTCCCCTCCTCGGGTTTATGTTTTCTGTTGGGGATTTTTATCGTCGTTCTCCGGTTGATGACTGCTGAAGAATCATACACACTAGTATTTTATTTTTACACGTTCTTTTTTGGGGACCATTTCTGAATCAAAGTGGTGGGGAGCTGTCGATACTTTTGTTTGTTTTTTTGTTCACTATTTATGGAAAGATTTTGACTTGATGAAACTCTAAATGGAAAACTGTTCATTGAATACCCTATATACATAAAATATATAAATTATCTGTGTATAGTTAGAGTCATTGCACTGTGGGTAATTGTTCTAAGTGCTCGGAATTCCTCTGGATGTAGTGATTTATTAATGGAGGATGTCCACATGTTGACATGGAGTTGACAGTGTTTGTGTGTGTGTGTGTGTGTGTGTGTGTGTGTGTGTGTGTGTGCGCGAGAGAGAATGACCTGAATGCATAATGTGTGTGTGCGCAGGTCTTTGTTTAATATGACATTATCAACACTAGTATCGTTTAGCTGTAGTGCAACTGTCTTGCTTTATTTTTTATTTTTTTTGTTTTTGTTTAAGGTGAGAGCTCACTGTTCAGTCATGCCTGTCAAATTTCCAAATAAAACTCAACCTCCTCCACAACATCGTCAAGCTTTTTTTTTTTCCTGGTATTTCTGACATAAAGTGTGTCTATTAGGCTTTAGATTTTCATGCATCTGTCAGCAATTGGTCAAAAAATGGACATTGGGTATTAGTTCATTTAAATGAAAAGTGATGTTTACAAAACATTTCAATTTATCCTTAAGTGGACATGTATGATTCCTTATATTCATAATTAAAATCAAATAATCCACTTGTGCTTTAGACAGTGCAAGCAATTGTCTATCTTCAGTTAATTCCTTTATGCTGCAAATTTTAAAATTGATTTTGTATACACACCAACTTTGTAGACAGTTGATCTCACATAAGTAACATTTTGAAGGGACGTTGATCATTCTTCCTTCATATTTAACACTTAGGACACGCTTCACATTCATTTTGGAACAGGGTTTTTGATGATTAAAAAACAAACAAATTTGAACAACGTTGAGTTTTGCATCATGTTGTATAACATCTGCACGTCTCCTCCTTCACTCAGCAGCGTGCAAAGAAAACTTGCTGTGCTGGAGACGCCGCTGAGTCCCTGCAGACAGACAGACAGACCGACTATTATTGTTTACGCGCACACTGATGTAAAGTAGGTCATGGAAGGAGGAAGCCCGGCCGCCCACTCGCCCCGCTGCCGCGCGTTGTCCCCCGTCTAGCAACACGCGTCTTCTGGCCACGACGTCCCCGCGGTGCCGCTCGTGCACAACGCAGGTAACGTTGACGCTTTTTCGCTCGCGCGCACATAGCGCCGAGGGAAGCTAACGGAAAGCTAACAGGCTAGTTTACGCTAGCTCCGAGTCCGCGGTCCATCTTTCCCCCTAATACCCGGGTGACAAACCGGGCTGTGACCGACATCGGCCGGTGCTCTAAGCTACACGTCCACACACACGCGACAATCGCGCGTGAGATAAACCGAGCTGCGTGTGACCGCGTTTGAAGCCCGCTGACATGTCAACGCCTCCGCGGTTCGACGGGTTGACTTCTGTGTGGCTACCGTTAGCTAGCTAGGCTAGGCTAAATGGAGCTAGCCAGAACAACACGATGTCACGTCAGAAGATAACAACTTTGCCGATGGTGACAATTCGCTGCGGTCAAGACTGCAACCAGCTAGTTTCAAGCAGTAAATCGAGTAGTTTGGGTGATATTTTGTGATTCTTTTTTTGCCGCCAACTTTCCCCAGTAAACAGTTTACTTTGCTCTAATAATAAGGTACGTAGCTGTAATGTTAGCACATGTTAATGTTGGGATAAGACATCAGAATAGCAATAACATCAATGATTCAGATAACATGCGACGCTCAAAGCCAAACAGACATGCTGCCTACGCCCCTCAAGATGGTCACATTTAACGTAATTTGTTCTGCAGCTTGTGGACTGATGCTCTTCCTCCAGCATCTGGACTGAACCTGAGCTGATCGGCAGTCTCTCTTTTCCACTGGTGAGACACTGCTGCTGCCATGTCCAGACGCAGCAGGAACAGTCGCGCGTGGAGGTACGTTTGGGGAGGGATGCGAAGGGATGCTGACGCCCGGGCGCTTGAAGAATGGAGCCGTGACCGCATAGAGGTGAGCACACAAGGACCACTGGTCCTTTGCACCTGAAGCAGAAACAGATTGGAAGCAGACAGAGCAGGAGATTCGCCTCGGCTTTCCCCGTCAGAGTTAAAGCCACTAATTTGCCATCGGTCTTTGTGAACAGTGTGTGTTTGTTGGCAATGTTGTGTTACGTAACAACACAAATGTTCGTAGCCTCTTGAGTCAGTTCCTTCTCTCTGCATTGCTGCTCCCCAGTTCAGCGACTCGGACTCCGAGGCGGACTTCTCAGCGGTGGTGGTCCCTCCGGTCCCCAGCGCGGTGCCCGTCACTGGAGAGTCCTACTGCGGCTGCGACTCCCAGGCTGAGAACAGCTACAACCCTCGCCTGCGAGGTTTCCACCAAGTCAAAGACTGCCACTGTGGCGAAGACGACCAAGGTACCAAGACCGCTTCTGCCAATCAGGGGCCCGGTTTGTCATTTAAAGGTTGATTTGGATGATGTCACTCGAGTGATCCGAATGACTGAACGAGTTGCGACGTTTCAGAGTTTGACTGGGTTTGGGACGGCAACGGTGGATCGACAGCGACGTTACTGAGCTGCGAGAACCGAAAAGTGAACTTCCACTCCGATTACAGCTGTGGCACAGCAGCGATCCGGGGCTCCAGAGAGCTGGCTGAAGGGCAGCACTTCTGGGAGATTAAGATGACGTCTCCGGTGTACGGAACCGACATGGTAAACACCCAACGGCAGTATGCAACGCTCCCTACAGAGATCCCTACATACTATTTGTCCCTAAACTGCTCTTTTTATCGGTGCAGATGGTCGGCATCGGTACTTTTGATGTCAATCTAGACAAATACAGACACTCGTTCTGCAGCCTGTTGGGAAAAGATGCAGACAGCTGGGGTCTTTCTTACACTGGTGAGATTACCACAACATGCTATGCTGTAGCAGTAGCGTCTCACCATGAGAACCGTACGTGTGTAACTTTAGTGGTTGTCTTTCATTTTGTCAGGCTTACTGCATCACAAAGGAGACAAAATGAACTTCTCCTCCCGGTTTGGACAGGGCTCCATCATCGGGATCCATCTGGACACGTGGCACGGCACACTCACTTTCTTTAAAAATCGCAAGTGTATAGGTTAGTAGCAACAAACGCATTACATAATGTTTTTTCTTTCAGTTATATTAAGAAAATACTCATACATACTGTACTTAAAAGTTAAACCAAATTGTCCCTGCTCTCTGATGCTGCATATAAATGAAACGTACCAGTGGACACAGACATCTGTTGAGTGGGTATTCTTGGCTAACTTTAAGCCCTGGAATCGTAACCAAATGTATGCTTTGTCACCATTCTCTTGACAGGTGTTGCTTCTGCGGAGCTGCAGAATAAGAAGTTCTACCCGATGGCGTGCTCCACAGCGGCGAAGAGCAGCATGAAGGTGATCCGATCCTGCTCCGCCAGCACCTCCCTGCTGTACCTCTGCTGTGCTCGCCTCCGCCAGCTGATGCCCGACTGTATGGACACCCTGGACGTGCTGCCGCTGCCGCCAGGCCTTCGCCAGCTGCTCCACAACAAACTGGGTTGGGTGCTCAGTCTCAACAGTGGCACCAGAGAGGAAGCCTCCGATGGGCCTGAGCTGCCCTCCCGCTTGCCCGCGCCCCCCTCGGCTGGACCGTCCTCCTCTGAGAGCGACTCTGAGGGTTGCACATCCGACCTCGAAGCCTGTCGGAGGAAGAGATGCCGCTGGACGTGAGTCCCCAGCTGGAGTCCCCCCCTCCCCTCTTAAACACTGGCAGACCTGGATGATCTTCTGGCGTCTGATGTTTCTGAGTGTTTCCGATTAAAATAAGCAGGATCAGAGTGGTACGTAAGTGGGAAACTGTGACGGCAGTATTTCTGCCCACGTGCTGTACTGTGATCTTGTCTCATGCCATTCAGATAACTTCAGACTCGTCATACATTCAGTCTGCAAACCAGCTTCAGTAATGAGTCAGAAATATGCGGTGTTATAATGTGAGTTCCCATAATTTGTTGCCATTCGTGTAGAGCGATTAGTGAAGTGCTGCAGGAATGGACTGTACAGCGTAACACTGAAGTCAGCTGTGGCCAAATTCTGATGTTCTTCCTGATACATTTGCAAAAAGGAGAGAATGTATATTTTAGGGATGCACTGATACTGCAATTGGGCCGATATTGATTCAATTAACTGGATCGGATATTTGAATTCCTGTTCAAGTTTTGATCAAGTTGTCGCTGCGTTTAAAAAGGTTTTCTTATGAATTGTAATTCCTGGTATCTTTGTAGATCTCTGCACCGAGTAGCTGGCTTAGGAAATGTCATTTTAGTAATATATACAAATTCGGAACAATTATGTCTATTTATTTATTTGTTTTATAAAGTTAGCAAAGCAATGTTTCCTTACACATACAATTATCCCATTTGCTTCAACACACCGGCATACATCGTATTAATCAAACACAGGTATCTGTTCTCTGCATCAACTTCCAGGTCTATCAACCAACTATTAATATCTGTATTGGGACTGAAAACATTGGTGCATCCCCTAAATATTTTTCAACCTGTATGCACATAATGTGTGTTGGTCTCAACCTCAATGCTATTGATGCATTATCATAGTAATATGTTACATGTTTTACTTGCATCTGTAATATTCTGGTAAATTGCCAAAGTGAGAGACTCTCCAATAAGTGAAACGAATGGGAAGGGACACACGCCATAGATTATATAGTATTCTTTATTCCTTATGGAAAAATTACAGCTCTTAGACAAACACTTTTTAAAGAAACATGTTTAGAACTAGTGATATCACATAGAACAAGAAATAGTTGGTTTTAACCTGAATGTATTTTGCACCTTTTCGTGCTCCTGAGATGAAAATATTTCAGTTTATCTCCAAACAAGTAATAGCCCTTTTGGTTCTTGTTTAAATAATAAGAAATTTGAGAGAGAGAAAAAAAATCATTGACACTTCTGGCAACATCCATTCGTCACCAGGTTTTGAAATCCTATGTCACTTGTTTGTAGCAACTATGGTTTCACTTTTTCAAAAGATGTTGCTAGTTTATTCTTGTTATTAAATGCTCTTTTAAATCTGACCATGAGACGAGTATGCCACTCGGAAGAGACTGACGCACATGTAAAGTTACTTTAAATCACTGCTATATTTTACTGTATAGAACCTTTAAAAAAGTTTCTTTGATTGTTTTTTTTACTGATCTGTTTATGCAAGTGTGTTCTTTCCCAAGGCCTTTACCCTTCACTCCCTGTGCAAACGCCACTTGGCTAATGGTACTTTAATTATTTCTTTAAAAAGTTCCTTGTTTCATACAAATTCGATTCCAATGATGAAAAGTCAGTACGACTATAGAAGCTTCTCCCACTGCTCCTGGGGAATAATACTGATTCATAGTTTGCCCAGGTGTTGGAGCTATACGGTCTTCCCAGTGCTGCCTCAGTCACCGGTCTTTGATCACGTCCAATCCGCAAGGGTCTTGGTTCAAGTAAACAGGCACAAACATTCACTGTACTATGCATTTCAAACGTTGTATTTGATAATGGTCTTCAGAAGCACTGTGTATTTTAAGCATTGAGGGTAAAGGTACCAGATCACCATGGTCATTAGTTATGAGTAGTGTGACTTAACACACTTAAATTATTACATAACTGGGCAGGTTAATCAGATAATCCCTATAGATCTATTAATCTAAAAGATTAGTTAGTTAGTCCGAGTTAGCAGATGTATTTTTGTCTTATTTCACAGCATTTTTCTTTTTTTTCTGCATCCAGGCACTATTTCTTACTGTTTCACTGTAAATAGCAAAATTGTAAGTGTTTCTTCCATGCCGTGTCATATTAATAATACTGTATGTGATGGCCTTTACTTGCCTTTTTCTGTATAACTTATCAGCATGATTTCCAGCTGAAAATAAATCAATGCAAAAATGAATGGGTGTGTTACTATTAAGCAAGGAAGCTGGCAAGATTCCGTTTTTTATCTTCGACTAAAATGCTCTTCACTTCGGATGCAGTGGTGAGGTCTATATATTTGTAGTGAGTCTACTGTGATTTTTTTGCATGCCATCAAAAAAAAAAGAGACATCACGTCACGCATGCGCGGTCTACCACGGGACTAACGGACGTATTTAATTTCATTCCAAGGACGTGCGGGATGCTGAGAGAAGGCCCTAAGTTAAGCTGCTATTGGCTGAGACTGCCGGGGGGACTTGTTAGGACACGCAGAGCTCCTCTCTCACCTACAGTAATCCAGGGTTTATTAATGAACAATTATTAAGCGTTTTCCGCTGAGTTTTTGTGCTTCCTCCCCTCAAAGGTTTCTATGGACCCTGTTCCTGCCTCCTGCCATGGCCCTGCTGACACCTGCTGCGGCTATCGTGACTATTATTATTTTACGCCTGATTTACTACCCTCTGAGGCAAATTTGGAATTTGCGATATTGGGCTATACTAAGTAATTATAAGCACAGCCTTTTGATTGTTCTGACCAAAAGTCTAAACTGATGTGATTAAGATGGCACTGAAACACGTACAGTAATAATAATATCCACTAGGGTCGGTTACTTCCATCTGGAGCAAAGAAAGTTGGAGAGACATTAAGACGTCAACATCTCAACGCTAGTTTTTCTTTCTCCCCTCACAGGTTTCTATGGACCCTGTTCCTGCCTCCTGCCATGGCCCTGCTGACACCTGCTGCGGCTATCATGACTACTATTATTTTACGCCTGATTTACTACCCTCTGAGGCAAATATGTAACTGTAATATTGGGCTATACTAAATAATTATAAGCCTTTTGATTGTTCTGACCAAAAGTCTAAACTGATGTGATTAAGATGGCACTGAAACACGTACAGTAATAATAAGATCCACTAGAGTCGGTTACTTCCATTTGCATTTCGTGTTGGAAGACGCCCACGCAGGAGTAGGTGGTGCCCAGGTCAATACCGATCGCTGTGCCCTTGGCTGCAGACATCTTTCAGTGTCCTGATGGTGGAGAGACGCAGTTTGAGAAAAGTGAGCACCTGCGTTATTGTAACATTAGGAATTTATCCAAAAACATCTCGAGTTATCTGTTAAATATTGCACTTGTGTGTGTGTGTTTTTTATGGTCAGGTCCAATGAATAAAAGTTGTCTGTATCACTGAAAATTCATTAGTTGCGCAACAAATGTCTATATTATGGAATATTTGTTATTATCGGGGTATATACATCAATGCTGAATATTTATACATTTATCGGTCTAAATTGACAGTTTGTCTGATGGACAAATGGTGGTTCGAGGAAACTGTGCAATCCAACTCACTTAAATTAAGTGCACATCATTTGAGAGACGTGTCAATTCAAAGCAACAAATAAAGAAACTAATCATTTGGAATTTCTAGAATTATTCGTGAATATAATAACATGATTTAAAATGATCCGAGAGTAAGAAGAAGAGTACTTACAGTGGTTAAAGATGATAAAGAGTAGAATCTGACGTTTCTTCTTCTTCTGCTGCTGCTTCTGCTGCTGCTTTTCTTCTGCTTATCTTTCTGCTTCTGCTTCTGCTTCTGCTTCTGCTTCTGCTCCTCTCGGTTTTATGGCAGTTTGCTCTCGTCAGGCGTCTACGAGTCTCGTTACTTTATACTTTCCTCGCTGCCTTCTGGTCTCTTCTCGAGCTTTCCTCTGACGCTCTGGTCCAATCACAGAGCTCGGCGCTGTCGCTCTACGTGATGACGTCACCCACCAGCGCGTCACTAGAAGCTTCTTCAGGCTTCTGGTCGCTGCGAGAAACGCTGCCAGAAGTTAATACATTCATTCTAGATGTGATACATCGGGATTCATTGATGGTATGTAGAAAGGAACCATGTAGAAATATTAGAACCCGAGAAAATAAATCACATTAAACACAAATACACAAATCAACCAAACTTGCATCATAGTTTGGACCCCGACACTGCAGCCATTGGACTTACATATATGAACTCTATTTTAACCAACTATGATGATTCAATTTGTAGAAGACGTTAATGATTCGTCCGTATTAATAAAGAAGAAGCATAAATTGGAGGGTTTTTCATGCAGAGTTCTGCGTTTGTTTTCATGTGGGAAAACACCAAGTGCAGCGTTTGATCTGACATTTAATTGAAAATATAAAGTGGCTCAACAGAATTAATAGTCACTTGATAATAGAGATATTAAACATATGTCAAGTCTTGCATAGTGTCATTCATAATACCACCACTAGATATCACCAAAGGAAGACACCTTAAAATACTTATAATAATATAATCAGAGAATTCAAAAGAGACTGACTCTTTGTAGCCAAAGTAATTATCTTTACAAATGTCTTTATTCCTTAGTGTGCGCCAATAGATCTGAGTTATAAGGTAATGGTTGTTAACCTATATAAAGTTATGGATATGGCTATGTATAGTTACTCATCTAGATATATCATATATCCACATATAGCCCCTACAGGGCTGAGCAGGCGTCAGGTGATGAGGTCCAGGTCGTTCACCATGAAAAGACTTCATGGTCTTACACTCTACTGAAGATATATATATAACTATATACATATATATAGGGGGACTTCTTAGGATACACAGAGCTCCTCTCTCACCTCACCTTCTACAGTAATCCAGGTTTTATTGATGCATAATTAAATCAGCGTTTTCCCCAGAGTTTTTGTGCTTCCTCCCCTCACAGGTTTCTATGGACCCTGTTCCTGCCTCCTGCCATGGCCCTGCTGACACCTGCTGCGGCTATCGTGACTATTATTATTTTACGCCTTATTTACTACCCCCTGAGGCAAATTTGTAACTTGCGATATTGGGCTATACTAAATAATTATAAGCACAGCCTTTTGATTGTTCTGACCAAAAGTCTAAACTGATGTGATTAAGATGGCACTGAAACACGTACAGTAATAATAAGATCCACTAGAGTCGGTTACTTCCATCTGGAGCAAAGAAAGTTGGAGAGACATTAAGACGTCAACATCTCAACGCTAGTTTTTCTTTCTCCCCCCACAGGTTTCTATGGACCCTGTTCCTGCCTCCTGCCATGGCCCTGCTGACACCTGCTGCGGCTATCATGACTATTATTATTTTACGCCTGATTTACTACCCTCTGAGGCAAATATGTAACTGTAATATTGGGCTATACTAAATAATTATAAGCCTTTTGATTGTTCTGACCAAAAGTCTAAACTGATGTGATTAAGATGGCACTGAAACACGTACAGTAATAATAAGATCCACTAGAGTCGGTTACTTCCATCTGGAGCAAAGACAGTTGGAGAGAAATTAAGACGTCAACATCTCAACGCTGATTGGTCAACTGGTCACACAAAAGATGAAAACATGACCTTTCTCCTGGTCTCAAGAACACTTGTATTATAATAAAGCTTATTGGACACTTTTTTTTCCCAATTCACAGTTTAGTTTATTAAATTAATAAAACCCTTTTACAACGAAACAGAAGTAACCATAAAATATACACATGTAAAAGAAGCCGTTTTAATTCATCAACAATACAGAAAATAACAAGGCAGCATAGTGGCTGAATTAAACGTGTTCTGTAGTGTTGTCACAGAATGAGCACATATACCCTGAACAAAGACACGTTATAATATCTCTTTAATGTTTCGTCCTTATTGTCCAGCAAGGCAGACGAAATAAGGATAAAAATTACTCGTATAAAACCCGCCAACGTGGCGTCTCTCCAAAAGTCCCACAGAGTCCACATGAAGTGCCTCCTTTAGTCCACCTCCTCGATGGTGGGCCCCTGGGAGCCGGCTCGTGCCTGCTCTCCACAGCTGGCCGCAGGCCTCCCTCCCTGGTGCAGCTTGCTGATGACCGGGTTACACACCTTCTCAAGCTCCTCCTGCTTGTGTTGGTACTCCTCCTTCTCGGCCAGCTGGTTGTTCTCCAGCCAAGCGACGGTCTCTTCGCACTTCTCCGTCACCTTCTTCAGGTCCTCCGCGCTCACCTGGCCCCTCAGGTTCTCGTCCCGCAGGCTGCTGCTCACGCTGAAGGCGTAGGACTCCAAGGAGTTCTTGGCGGAGACCCTGTCTCTCTGAAGGTCGTCCTCGGCCTTGTATTTGTCGGCGTCCTGCACCATCCTCTCGATCTCCTCCTTGCTCAGCCGGCCCTTGTCGTTGGTGATGGTGATCTTGTTCTCCTTGCCGGTGCTCTTGTCCACCGCCGACACGTTCAAGATGCCGTTGGCGTCCACGTCAAAAGTGACCTCGATCTGCGGGACGCCCCGCGGAGCCGGCGGGATTCCTGTCAGATCGAACTTGCCCAGCAGGTTGTTGTCCTTAGTCATGGCGCGCTCCCCTTCGTAGACCTGGATGAGGACCCCCGGCTGGTTGTCGGCGTAGGTGCTGAAGACCTGGGTCTGCTTGGTGGGGATCGTCGTGTTGCGTTTGATCAGCGCCGTCATGACCCCTCCGGCCGTCTCCAACCCCAGGGACAGGGGCGCCACGTCCAGCAGAAGCAGGTCCTGAACGTTGCCCGAGGTGTCGCCCGTGAGGATGGCAGCCTGGACGGCAGCGCCGTACGCCACCGCCTCGTCGGGGTTGATGCTCTTGTTCAGCTCCCTGCCGTTGAAGAAGTCCTGCAGGAGCTTTTGGATCTTGGGGATGCGGGTGGAGCCCCCGACCAGGACCACATCGTGGATCTGCCCCTTGTCCATCTTGGCGTCGTTCAGAGCTTTCTCCACGGGCTCCAGAGTTCCCCGGAAGAGGTCAGAGCACAGCTCCTCGAATCGAGCCCTGGTGACGGACGTGTAGAAGTCCACGCCCTCAAACAGAGAGTCGATCTCGATGCTGGCCTGCGAGCTGGAGGACAAGGTCCTCTTGGCCCTCTCGCACGCCGTGCGCAGCCTCCTCAAGGCCCTCTTGTTCTGCCTGATGTCCTTCTTGTGTTTCCTCCTGAACTCCTCCACAAAGTGGTTGACCATGCGGTTGTCAAAGTCCTCTCCGCCCAAGTGCGTGTCTCCGGCCGTGGCCTTGACCTCGAAGATGCCGTCCTCGATGGTCAGGATGGACACGTCGAAGGTGCCCCCGCCCAGGTCGAAGATCAGGACGTTGCGTTCTCCCGTCTTGCCTCGGTCCAGACCGTAGGCGATGGCGGCCGCTGTGGGCTCGTTGATGATCCTCAGGACGTTGAGTCCCGCGATGACGCCGGCGTCTTTGGTGGCCTGCCTCTGGGAGTCGTTGAAGTACGCCGGGACCGTGACCACCGCGTTGGACACCTTGTGGCCCAGGTAAGCCTCTGCAATCTCCTTCATCTTCACCAGGACCATGGAGGAGATCTCCTCGGGGTAGAAGCTCTTCTCCTCCCCTTTGTGCTCCACCTGGATCTTGGGCTTCCCTCCATCTCCCACCACCTTGAAGGGCCAGTGCTTCATGTCCGCCTGCACCACCGGATCCTCCACCTTCCTCCCGATCAGCCTTTTGGCGTCAAACACCGTGTTGCTGGGGTTCAGTGCCACCTGGTTCTTGGCCGCGTCGCCGATGAGCCTCTCGGTATCGGTGAACGCCACATAGCTGGGCGTGGTCCTGTTGCCCTGGTCGTTGGCGATGATTTCCACTTTGCCGTGTTGGAAGACGCCCACGCAGGAGTAGGTGGTGCCCAGGTCAATACCGATCGCTGTGCCCTTGGCTGCAGACATCTTTCAGTGTCCTGATGGTGGAGAGACGCAGTTTGAGAAAAGTGAGCACCTGCGTTATTGTAACATTAGGAATTTATCCAAAAACATCTCGAGTTATCTGTTAAATATTGCACTTGTGTGTGTGTGTTTTTTATGGTCAGGTCCAATGAATAAAAGTTGTCTGTATCACTGAAAATGCATTAGTTGCGCAATAAATGTCTATATTATGGAATATTTGTTATTATCGGGGTATATACATCAATGCTGAATATTTATACATTTATCGGTCTAAATTGACAGTTTGTCTGATGGACAAATGGTGGTTCGAGGAAACTGTGCAATCCAACTCACTTAAATTAAGTGCACATCATTTGAGAGACGTGTCAATTCAAAGCAACAAATAAAGAAACTAATCATTTGGAATTTCTAGAATTATTCGTGAATATAATAACATGATTTAAAATGATCCGAGAGTAAGAAGAAGAGTACTTACAGTGGTTAAAGATGATAAAGAGTAGAATCTGACGTTTCTTCTTCTTCTGCTGCTTCTGCTGCTGCTTTTCTTCTGCTTATCTTTCTGCTTCTGCTTCTGCTTCTGCTTCTGCTCCTCTCGGTTTTATGGCAGTTTGCTCTCGTCAGGCTTCTGCGAGTCTCGTTATTTTATACTTTCCTCGCTGCCTTCTGGTCTCTTCTCGAGCTTTCCTCTGACGCTCTGGTCCAATCACAGAGCTCGGCGCTGTCGCTCTACGTGATGACGTCACCCACCAGCGCGTCACTAGAAGCTTCTTCAGGCTTCTGGTCGCTGCGAGAAACGCTGCCAGAAGTTAATACATTCATTCTAGATGTGATACATCGGGATTCATTGATGGTATGTAGAAAGGAACCATGTAGAAATATTAGAACCCGAGAAAATAAATCACAAATAAACACAAATACACAAATCAACCAAACTTGCATCATAGTTTGGACCCCGACACTGCAGCCATTGGACTTACATATATGAACTCTACTTTAACCAACTATGATGATTCAATTTGTAGAAGACGTTAATGATTCGTCCGTATTAATAAAGAAGAAGCATAAATTGGAGGGTTTTTCATGCAGAGTTCTGCGTTTGTTTTCATGTGGGAAAACACCAAGTGCAGCGTTTGATCTGACATTTAATTGAAAATATAAAGTGGCTCAACAGAATTAATAGTCACTTGATTATAGAGATATTAAACATATGTCAAGTCTTGCATAGTGTCATTCATAATACCACCACTAGATATCACCAAAGGAAGACACCTTAAAATACTTATAATAATATAATCCGAGAATTCAAAAGAGACTGACTCTTTGTAGCCAAAGTAATTATCTTTACAAATGTCTTTATTCCTTAGTGTGCGCCAATAGATCTGAGTTATAAGGCAATGGTTGTTAACCTATATAAAGTTATGGATATGGCTATGTATAGTTACTCATCTAGATATATCATATATCCACATATAGCCCCTACAGGGCTGAGCAGGCGTCAGGTGATGAGGTCCAGGTCGTTCACCATGAAAAGACTTCATGGTCTTACACTCTACTGAAGATATATATATAACTATATACATATATATAGGGGGACTTCTTAGGATACACAGAGCTCCTCTCTCACCTCACCTTCTACAGTAATCCAGGTTTTATTGATGCACATCACTAAATCAGCGTTTTCCCCAGAGTTTTTGTGCTTCCTCCCCTCACAGGTTTCTATGGACCCTGTTCCTGCCTCCTGCCATGGCCCTGCTGACACCTGCTGCGGCTATCGTGACTATTATTATTTTACGCTTGATTTACTACCCTCTGAGGCAAATATGTAACTGTAATATTGGGCTATACTAAATAATTATAAGCCTTTTGATTGTTCTGACCAAAAGTCTAATCTGATGTGATTAAGATGGCACTGAAACACGTACAGTAATAATAAGATCCACTAGAGTCGGTTACTTCCATCTGGAGCAAAGAAAGTTGGAGAGACATTAAGACGTCAACATCTCAACGCTAGTTTTTCTTTCTCCCCTCACAGGTTTCTATGGACCCTGTTCCTGCCTCCTGCCATGGCCCTGCTGACACCTGCTGCGGCTATCATGACTATTATTATTTTACGCCTGATTTACTACCCTCTGAGGCAAATATGTAACTGTAATATTGGGCTATACTAAATAGTTATAAGCCTTTTGATTGTTCTGACCAAAAGTCTAATCTGATGTGATTAAGATGGCACTGAAACACGTACAGTAATAATAAGATCCACTAGAGTCGGTTACTTCCATCTGGAGCAAAGAAAGTTGGAGAGAAATTAAGACGTCAACATCTCAACGCTGCTAAGTCAACTGGTCACACAAAAGATGAAAACATGACCTTTCTCCTGGTCTCAAGAACACTTGTATTATAATAAAGCTCATTGGACACATTTTTTTTCCAATTCACAGTTTAGTTTATTGAATTAATAATACCCTTTTACAACAAAACAGAAGTAACCATAAAATATACACATGTAAAAGAAGCCGTTTTAATTCATCAACAATACAGAAAATAACAAGGCAGCATAGTGGCTGAATTAAACGTGTTCTGTAGTGTTGTCACAGAATGAGCACATATACCCTGAACAAAGACACGTTATAATATCTCTTCAATGTTTCGTCCTTATTGTCCAGCAAGGCAGACGAAATGAGGATAATAATTACTCGTATAAAACCCGCCAACGTGGCGTCTCTCCAAAAGTCCCACAGAGTCCACATGAAGTGCCTCCTTTAGTCCACCTCCTCGATGGTGGGCCCCTGGGAGCCGGCTCGTGCCTGCTCTCCACAGCTGGCCGCAGGCCTCCCTCCCTGGTGCAGCTTGCTGATGACCGGGTTACACACCTTCTCAAGCTCCTCCTGCTTGTGTTGGTACTCCTCCTTCTCGGCCAGCTGGTTGTTCTCCAGCCAAGCGACGGTCTCTTCGCACTTCTCCGTCACCTTCTTCAGGTCCTCCGCGCTCACCTGGCCCCTCAGGTTCTCGTCCCGCAGGCTGCTGCTCACGCTGAAGGCGTAGGACTCCAAGGAGTTCTTGGCGGAGACCCTGTCTCTCTGAAGGTCGTCCTCGGCCTTGTATTTGTCGGCGTCCTGCACCATCCTCTCGATCTCCTCCTTGCTCAGCCGGCCCTTGTCGTTGGTGATGGTGATCTTGTTCTCCTTGCCGGTGCTCTTGTCCACCGCCGACACGTTCAAGATGCCGTTGGCGTCCACGTCAAAAGTGACCTCGATCTGCGGGACGCCCCGCGGAGCCGGCGGGATTCCTGTCAGATCGAACTTGCCCAGCAGGTTGTTGTCCTTAGTCATGGCGCGCTCCCCTTCGTAGACCTGGATGAGGACCCCCGGCTGGTTGTCGGCGTAGGTGCTGAAGACCTGGGTCTGCTTGGTGGGGATCGTCGTGTTGCGTTTGATCAGCGCCGTCATGACCCCTCCGGCCGTCTCCAACCCCAGGGACAGGGGCGCCACGTCCAGCAGAAGCAGGTCCTGAACGTTGCCCGAGGTGTCGCCCGTGAGGATGGCAGCCTGGACGGCAGCGCCGTACGCCACCGCCTCGTCGGGGTTGATGCTCTTGTTCAGCTCCCTGCCGTTGAAGAAGTCCTGCAGGAGCTTTTGGATCTTGGGGATGCGGGTGGAGCCCCCGACCAGGACCACATCGTGGATCTGCCCCTTGTCCATCTTGGCGTCGTTCAGAGCTTTCTCCACGGGCTCCAGAGTTCCCCGGAAGAGGTCAGAGCACAGCTCCTCGAATCGAGCCCTGGTGACGGACGTGTAGAAGTCCACGCCCTCGAACAGAGAGTCGATCTCGATGCTGGCCTGCGAGCTGGAGGACAAGGTCCTCTTGGCCCTCTCGCACGCCGTGCGCAGCCTCCTCAAGGCCCTCTTGTTCTGCCTGATGTCCTTCTTGTGTTTCCTCCTGAACTCCTCCACAAAGTGGTTGACCATGCGGTTGTCAAAGTCCTCTCCGCCCAAGTGCGTGTCTCCGGCCGTGGCCTTGACCTCGAAGATGCCGTCCTCGATGGTCAGGATGGACACGTCGAAGGTGCCCCCGCCCAGGTCGAAGATCAGGACGTTGCGTTCTCCCGTCTTGCCTCGGTCCAGACCGTAGGCGATGGCGGCCGCTGTGGGCTCGTTGATGATCCTCAGGACGTTGAGTCCCGCGATGACGCCGGCGTCTTTGGTGGCCTGCCTCTGGGAGTCGTTGAAGTACGCCGGGACCGTGACCACCGCGTTGGACACCTTGTGGCCCAGGTAAGCCTCTGCAATCTCCTTCATCTTCACCAGGACCATGGAGGAGATCTCCTCGGGGTAGAAGCTCTTCTCCTCCCCTTTGTGCTCCACCTGGATCTTGGGCTTCCCTCCATCTCCCACCACCTTGAAGGGCCAGTGCTTCATGTCCGCCTGCACCACCGGATCCTCCACCTTCCTCCCGATCAGCCTTTTGGCGTCAAACACCGTGTTGCTGGGGTTCAGCGCCACCTGGTTCTTGGCCGCGTCGCCGATGAGCCTCTCGGTATCGGTGAACGCCACATAGCTGGGCGTGGTCCTGTTGCCCTGGTCGTTGGCGATGATTTCCACTTTGCCGTGTTGGAAGACGCCCACGCAGGAGTAGGTGGTGCCCAGGTCAATACCGATCGCTGTGCCCTTGGCTGCAGACATCTTTCAGTGTCCTGATGGTGGAGAGACGCAGTTTGAGAAAAGTGAGCACCTGCGTTATTGTAACATTAGGAATTTATCCAAAAACATCTCGAGTTATCTGTTAAATATTGCACTTGTGTGTGTGTTTTTTATGGTCAGGTCCAATGAATAAAAGTTGTCTGTATCACTGAAAATGCATTAGTTGCGCAACAAATGTCTATATTATGGAATATTTGTTATTATCGGGGTATATACATCAATGCTGAATATTTATACATTTATCGGTCTAAATTGACAGTTTGTCTGATGGACAAATGGTGGTTCGAGGAAACTGTGCAATCCAACTCACTTAAATTAAGTGCACATCATTTGAGAGACGTGTCAATTCAAAGCAACAAATAAAGAAACTAATCATTTGGAATTTCTAGAATTATTCGTGAATATAATAACATGATTTAAAATGATCCGAGAGTAAGAAGAAGAGTACTTACAGTGGTTAAAGATGATAAAGAGTAGAATCTGACGTTTCTTCTTCTTCTGCTGCTTCTGCTGCTGCTTTTCTTCTGCTTATCTTTCTGCTTCTGCTTCTGCTTTTGCTTCTGCTCCTCTCGGTTTTATGGCAGTTTGCTCTCGTCAGGCTTCTGCGAGTCTCGTTATTTTATACTTTCCTCGCTGCCTTCTGGTCTCTTCTCGAGCTTTCCTCTGACGCTCTGGTCCAATCACAAAGCTCGGCGCTGTCGCTCTACGTGATGACGTCACCCACCAGCGCGTCACTAGAAGCTTCTTCAGGCTTCTGGTCGCTGCGAGAAACGCTGCCAGAAGTTAATACATTCATTCTAGATGTGATACATCGGGATTCATTGATGGTATGTAGAAAGGAACCATGTAGAAATATTAGAACCCGAGCAAATAAATCACATTAAACACAAATACACAAATCAACCAAACTTGCATCATAGTTTGGACCCCGACACTGCAGCCATTGGACTTACATATATGAACTCTACTTTAACCAACTATGATGATTCAATTTGTAGAAGACGTTAATGATTCGTCCGTATTAATAAAGAAGAAGCATAAATTGGAGGGTTTTTCATGCAGAGTTCTGCGTTTGTTTTCATGTGGGAAAACACCAAGTGCAGCGTTTGATCTGACATTTAATTGAAAATATAAAGTGGCTCAACAGAATTAATAGTCACTTGATAATAGAGATATTAAACATATGTCAAGTCTTGCATAGTGTCATTCATAATACCACCACTAGATATCACCAAAGGAAGACACCTTAAAATACTTATAATAATATAATCAGAGAATTCAAAAGAGACTGACTCTTTGTAGCCAAAGTAATTATCTTTACAAATGTCTTTATTCCTTAGTGTGCGCCAATAGATCTGAGTTATAAGGTAATGGTTGTTAACCTATATAAAGTTATGGATATGGCTATGTATAGTTACTCATCTAGATATATCATATATCCACATATAGCCCCTACAGGGCTGAGCAGGCGTCAGGTGATGAGGTCCAGGTCGTTCACCATGAAAAGACTTCATGGTCTTACACTCTACTGAAGATATATATATAACTATATACATATATATAGGGGGACTTCTTAGGATACACAGAGCTCCTCTCTCACCTCACCTTCTACAGTAATCCAGGTTTTATTGATGCACATCACTAAATCAGCGTTTTCCCCAGAGTTTTTGTGCTTCCTCCCCTCACAGGTTTCTATGGACCCTGTTCCTGCCTCCTGCCATGGCCCTGCTGACACCTGCTGCGGCTATCGTGACTATTATTATTTTACGCTTGATTTACTACCCTCTGAGGCAAATATGTAACTGTAATATTGGGCTATACTAAATAATTATAAGCCTTTTGATTGTTCTGACCAAAAGTCTAATCTGATGTGATTAAGATGGCACTGAAACACGTACAGTAATAATAAGATCCACTAGAGTCGGTTACTTCCATCTGGAGCAAAGAAAATTGGAGAGACATTAAGACGTCAACATCTCAACGCTAGTTTTTCTTTCTCCCCTCACAGGTTTCTATGGACCCTGTTCCTGCCTCCTGCCATGGCCCTGCTGACACCTGCTGCGGCTATCATGACTATTATTATTTTACGCCTGATTTACTACCCTCTGAGGCAAATATGTAACTGTAATATTGGGCTATACTAAATAATTATAAGCCTTTTGATTGTTCTGACCAAAAGTCTAATCTGATGTGATTAAGATGGCACTGAAACACGTACAGTAATAATAAGATCCACTAGAGTCGGTTACTTCCATCTGGAGCAAAGAAAGTTGGAGAGAAATTAAGACGTCAACATCTCAACGCTGCTAAGTCAACTGGTCACACAAAAGATGAAAACATGACCTTTCTCCTGGTCTCAAGAACACTTGTATTATAATAAAGCTCATTGGACACTTTTTTTTCCAATTCACAGTTTAGTTTATTGAATTAATAATACCCTTTTACAACAAAACAGAAGTAACCATAAAATATACACATGTAAAAGAAGCCGTTTTAATTCATCAACAATACAGAAAATAACAAGGCAGCATAGTGGCTGAATTAAACGTGTTCTGTAGTGTTGTCACAGAATGAGCACATATACCCTGAACAAAGACACGTTATAATATCTCTTCAATGTTTCGTCCTTATTGTCCAGCAAGGCAGACGAAATGAGGATAATAATTACTCGTATAAAACCCGGCAACGTGGCGTCTCTCCAAAAGTCCCACAGAGTCCACATGAAGTGCCTCCTTTAGTCCACCTCATCGATGGTGGGCCCCTGGGAGCCGGCTCGTGCCTGCTCTCCACAGCTGGCCGCAGGCCTCCCTCCCTGGTGCAGCTTGCTGATGACCGGGTTACACACCTTCTCAAGCTCCTCCTGCTTGTGTTGGTACTCCTCCTTCTCGGCCAGCTGGTTGTTCTCCAGCCAAGCGACGGTCTCTTCGCACTTCTCCGTCACCTTCTTCAGGTCCTCCGCGCTCACCTGGCCCCTCAGGTTCTCGTCCCGCAGGCTGCTGCTCACGCTGAAGGCGTAGGACTCCAAGGAGTTCTTGGCGGAGACCCTGTCTCTCTGAAGGTCGTCCTCGGCCTTGTATTTGTCGGCGTCCTGCACCATCCTCTCGATCTCCTCCTTGCTCAGCCGGCCCTTGTCGTTGGTGATGGTGATCTTGTTCTCCTTGCCGGTGCTCTTGTCCACCGCCGACACGTTCAAGATGCCGTTGGCGTCCACGTCAAAAGTGACCTCGATCTGCGGGACGCCCCGCGGAGCCGGCGGGATTCCTGTCAGATCGAACTTGCCCAGCAGGTTGTTGTCCTTAGTCATGGCGCGCTCCCCTTCGTAGACCTGGATGAGGACCCCCGGCTGGTTGTCGGCGTAGGTGCTGAAGACCTGGGTCTGCTTGGTGGGGATCGTCGTGTTGCGTTTGATCAGCGCCGTCATGACCCCTCCGGCCGTCTCCAGCCCCAGGGACAGGGGCGCCACGTCCAGCAGAAGCAGGTCCTGAACGTTGCCCGAGGTGTCGCCCGTGAGGATGGCAGCCTGGACGGCAGCGCCGTACGCCACCGCCTCGTCGGGGTTGATGCTCTTGTTCAGCTCCCTGCCGTTGAAGAAGTCCTGCAGGAGCTTTTGGATCTTGGGGATGCGGGTGGAGCCCCCGACCAGGACCACATCGTGGATCTGCCCCTTGTCCATCTTGGCGTCGTTCAGAGCTTTCTCCACGGGCTCCAGAGTTCCCCGGAAGAGGTCAGAGCACAGCTCCTCGAATCGAGCCCTGGTGACGGACGTGTAGAAGTCCACGCCCTCGAACAGAGAGTCGATCTCGATGCTGGCCTGCGAGCTGGAGGACAAGGTCCTCTTGGCCCTCTCGCACGCCGTGCGCAGCCTCCTCAAGGCCCTCTTGTTCTGCCTGATGTCCTTCTTGTGTTTCCTCCTGAACTCCTCCACAAAGTGGTTGACCATGCGGTTGTCAAAGTCCTCTCCGCCCAAGTGCGTGTCTCCGGCCGTGGCCTTGACCTCGAAGATGCCGTCCTCGATGGTCAGGATGGACACGTCGAAGGTGCCCCCGCCCAGGTCGAAGATCAGGACGTTGCGTTCTCCCGTCTTGCCTCGGTCCAGACCGTAGGCGATGGCGGCCGCTGTGGGCTCGTTGATGATCCTCAGGACGTTGAGTCCCGCGATGACGCCGGCGTCTTTGGTGGCCTGCCTCTGGGAGTCGTTGAAGTACGCCGGGACCGTGACCACTGCGTTGGACACCTTGTGGCCCAGGTAAGCCTCTGCAATCTCCTTCATCTTCACCAGGACCATGGAGGAGATCTCCTCGGGGTAGAAGCTCTTCTCCTCCCCTTTGTGCTCCACCTGGATCTTGGGCTTCCCTCCATCTCCCACCACCTTGAAGGGCCAGTGCTTCATGTCCGCCTGCACCACCGGATCCTCCACCTTCCTCCCGATCAGCCTTTTGGCGTCAAACACCGTGTTGCTGGGGTTCAGCGCCACCTGGTTCTTGGCCGCGTCGCCGATGAGCCTCTCGGTATCGGTGAACGCCACATAGCTGGGCGTGGTCCTGTTGCCCTGGTCGTTGGCAATGATTTCCACTTTGCCGTGTTGGAAGACGCCCACGCAGGAGTAGGTGGTGCCCAGGTCAATACCGATCGCTGTGCCCTTGGCTGCAGACATCTTTCAGTGTCCTGATGGTGGAGAGACGCAGTTTGAGAAAAGTGAGCACCTGCGTTATTGTAACATTAGGAATTTATCCAAAAACATCTCGAGTTATCTGTTAAATATTGCACTTGTGTGTGTGTTTTTTATGGTCAGGTCCAATGAATAAAAGTTGTCTGTATCACTGAAAATGCATTAGTTGCGCAACAAATGTCTATATTATGGAATATTTGTTATTATCGGGGTATATACATCAATGCTCAATATTTATACATTTATCGGTCTAAATTGACAGTTTGTCTGATGGACAAATGGTGGTTCGAGGAAACTGTGCAATCCAACTCACTTAAATTAAGTGCACATCATTTGAGAGACGTGTCAATTCAAAGCAACAAATAAAGAAACTAATCATTTGGAATTTCTAGAATTATTCGTGAATATAATAACATGATTTAAAATGATCCGAGAGTAAGAAGAAGAGTACTTACAGTGGTTAAAGATGATAAAGAGTAGAATCTGACGTTTCTTCTTCTTCTGCTGCTTCTGCTGCTGCTTTTCTTCTGCTTATCTTTCTGCTTCTGCTTCTGCTTCTGCTCCTCTCGGTTTTATGGCAGTTTGCTCTCGTCAGGCTTCTGCGAGTCTCGTTATTTTATACTTTCCTCGCTGCCTTCTGGTCTCTTCTCGAGCTTTCCTCTGACGCTCTGGTCCAATCACAGAGCTCGGCGCTGTCGCTCTACGTGATGACGTCACCCACCAGCGCGTCACTAGAAGCTTCTTCAGGCTTCTGGTCGCTGCGAGAAACGCTGCCAGAAGTTAATACATTCATTCTAGATGTGATACATCGGGATTCATTGATGGTATGTAGAAAGGAACCATGTAGAAATATTAGAACCCGAGAAAATAAATCACATTAAACACAAATACACAAATCAACCAAACTTGCATCATAGTTTGGACCCCGACACTGCAGCCATTGGACTTACATATATGAACTCTACTTTAACCAACTATGATGATTCAATTTGTAGAAGACGTTAATGATTCGTCCGTATTAATAAAGAAGAAGCATAAATTGGAGGGTTTTTCATGCAGAGTTCTGCGTTTGTTTTCATGTGGGAAAACACCAAGTGCAGCGTTTGATCTGACATTTAATTGAAAATATAAAGTGGCTCAACAGAATTAATAGTCACTTGATAATAGAGATATTAAACATATGTCAAGTCTTGCATAGTGTCATTCATAATACCACCACTAGATATCACCAAAGGAAGACACCTTAAAATACTTATAATAATATAATCAGAGAATTCAAAAGAGACTGACTCTTTGTAGCCAAAGTAATTATCTTTACAAATGTCTTTATTCCTTAGTGTGCGCCAATAGATCTGAGTTATAAGGTAATGGTTGTTAACCTATATAAAGTTATGGATATGGCTATGTATAGTTACTCATCTAGATATATCATATATCCACATATAGCCCCTACAGGGCTGAGCAGGCGTCAGGTGATGAGGTCCAGGTCGTTCACCATGAAAAGACTTCATGGTCTTACACTCTACTGAAGATATATATATAACTATATACATATATATAGGGGGACTTCTTAGGATACACAGAGCTCCTCTCTCACCTCACCTTCTACAGTAATCCAGGTTTTATTGATGCACATCACTAAATCAGCGTTTTCCCCAGAGTTTTTGTGCTTCCTCCCCTCACAGGTTTCTATGGACCCTGTTCCTGCCTCCTGCCATGGCCCTGCTGACACCTGCTGCGGCTATCGTGACTATTATTATTTTACGCCTGATTTACTACCCTCTGAGGCAAATTTGTAACTTGCGATATTGGGCTATACTAAATAATTATAAGCACAGCCTTTTGATTGTTCTGACCAAAAGTCTAAACTGATGTGATTAAGATGGCACTGAAACACGTACAGTAATAATAAGATCCACTAGAGTCGGTTACTTCCATCTGGCGCAAAGAAAGTTGGAGAGAAATTAAGACGTCAACATCTCAACGCTGATTGGTCAACTGGTCACACAAAAGATGAAAACATGACCTTTCTCCTGGTCTCAAGAACACTTGTATTATAATAAAGCTTATTGGACACTTTTTTTTCCAATTCACAGTTTAGTTTATTAAATTAATAAAACTCTTTTACAACGAAACAGAAGTAACCATAAAATATACACATGTAAAAGAAGCCGTTTTAATTCATCAACAATACAGAAAATAACAAGGCAGCATAGTGGCTGAATTAAACGTGTTCTGTAGTGTTGTCACAGAATGAGCACATATACCCTGAACAAAGACACATTATAATATCTCATTAATGTTTCGTCCTTATTGTCCAGCAAGGCAGACAAAATGAGGATAATAATTACTCGTATAAAACCCGCCAACGTGGCGTCTCTCCAAAAGTCCCACAGAGTCCACATGAAGTGCCTCCTTTAGTCCACCTCCTCAATGGTGGGCCCCTGGGAGCCGGCTCGTGCCTGCTCTCCACAGCTGGCCGCAGGCCTCCCTCCCTGGTGCAGCTTGCTGATGACCGGGTTACACACCTTCTCAAGCTCCTCCTGCTTGTGTTGGTACTCCTCCTTCTCGGCCAGCTGGTTGTTCTCCAGCCAAGCGACGGTCTCTTCGCACTTCTCCGTCACCTTCTTCAGGTCCTCCGCGCTCACCTGGCCCCTCAGGTTCTCGTCCCGCAGGCTGCTGCTCACGCTGAAGGCGTAGGACTCCAAGGAGTTCTTGGCGGAGACCCTGTCTCTCTGAAGGTCGTCCTCGGCCTTGTATTTGTCGGCGTCCTGCACCATCCTCTCGATCTCCTCCTTGCTCAGCCGGCCCTTGTCGTTGGTGATGGTGATCTTGTTCTCCTTGCCGGTGCTCTTGTCCACCGCCGACACGTTCAAGATGCCGTTGGCGTCCACGTCAAAAGTGACCTCGATCTGCGGGACGCCCCGCGGAGCCGGCGGGATTCCTGTCAGATCGAACTTGCCCAGCAGGTTGTTGTCCTTAGTCATGGCGCGCTCCCCTTCGTAGACCTGGATGAGGACCCCCGGCTGGTTGTCGGCGTAGGTGCTGAAGACCTGGGTCTGCTTGGTGGGGATCGTCGTGTTGCGTTTGATCAGCGCCGTCATGACCCCTCCGGCCGTCTCCAGCCCCAGGGACAGGGGCGCCACGTCCAGCAGAAGCAAGTCCTGAACGTTGCCCGAGGTGTCGCCCGTGAGGATGGCAGCCTGGACGGCAGCGCCGTACGCCACCGCCTCGTCGGGGTTGATGCTCTTGTTCAGCTCCCTGCCGTTGAAGAAGTCCTGCAGGAGCTTTTGGATCTTGGGGATGCGGGTGGAGCCCCCGACCAGGACCACATCGTGGATCTGCCCCTTGTCCATCTTGGCGTCGTTCAGAGCTTTCTCCACGGGCTCCAGAGTTCCCCGGAAGAGGTCAGAGCACAGCTCCTCGAATCGAGCCCTGGTGACGGACGTGTAGAAGTCCACGCCCTCGAACAGAGAGTCGATCTCGATGCTGGCCTGCGAGCTGGAGGACAAGGTCCTCTTGGCCCTCTCGCACGCCGTGCGCAGCCTCCTCAAGGCCCTCTTGTTCTGCCTGATGTCCTTCTTGTGTTTCCTCCTGAACTCCTCCACAAAGTGGTTGACCATGCGGTTGTCAAAGTCCTCTCCGCCCAAGTGCGTGTCTCCGGCCGTGGCCTTGACCTCGAAGATGCCGTCCTCGATGGTCAGGATGGACACGTCGAAGGTGCCCCCGCCCAGGTCGAAGATCAGGACGTTGCGTTCTCCCGTCTTGCCTCGGTCCAGACCGTAGGCGATGGCGGCCGCTGTGGGCTCGTTGATGATCCTCAGGACGTTGAGTCCCGCGATGACGCCGGCGTCTTTGGTGGCCTGCCTCTGGGAGTCGTTGAAGTACGCCGGGACCGTGACCACCGCGTTGGACACCTTGTGGCCCAGGTATGCCTCTGCAATCTCCTTCATCTTCACCAGGACCATGGAGGAGATCTCCTCGGGGTAGAAGCTCTTCTCCTCCCCTTTGTGCTCCACCTGGATCTTGGGCTTCCCTCCATCTCCCACCACCTTGAAGGGCCAGTGCTTCATGTCCGCCTGCACCACCGGATCCTCCACCTTCCTCCCGATCAGCCTTTTGGCGTCAAACACCGTGTTGCTGGGGTTCAGCGCCACCTGGTTCTTGGCCGCGTCGCCGATGAGCCTCTCGGTATCGGTGAACGCCACATAGCTGGGCGTGGTCCTGTTGCCCTGGTCGTTGGCGATGATTTCCACTTTGCCGTGTTGGAAGACGCCCACGCAGGAGTAGGTGGTGCCCAGGTCAATACCGATCGCTGTGCCCTTGGCTGCAGACATCTTTCAGTGTCCTGATGGTGGAGAGACGCAGTTTGAGAAAAGTGAGCACCTGCGTTATTGTAACATTAGGAATTTATCCAAAAACATCTCGAGTTATCTGTTAAATATTGCACTTGTGTGTGTGTTTTTTATGGTCAGGTCCAATGAATAAAAGTTGTCTGTATCACTGAAAATGCATTAGTTGCGCAACAAATGTCTATATTATGGAATATTTGTTATTATCGGGGTATATACATCAATGCTCAATATTTATACATTTATCGGTCTAAATTGACAGTTTGTCTGATGGACAAATGGTGGTTCGAGGAAACTGTGCAATCCAACTCACTTAAATTAAGTGCACATCATTTGAGAGACGTGTCAATTCAAAGCAACAAATAAAGAAACTAATCATTTGGAATTTCTAGAATTATTCGTGAATATAATAACATGATTTAAAATGATCCGAGAGTAAGAAGAAGAGTACTTACAGTGGTTAAAGATGATAAAGAGTAGAATCTGACGTTTCTTCTTCTTCTGCTGCTTCTGCTGCTGCTTTTCTTCTGCTTATCTTTCTGCTTCTGCTTCTGCTTCTGCTCCTCTCGGTTTTATGGCAGTTTGCTCTCGTCAGGCTTCTGCGAGTCTCGTTATTTTATACTTTCCTCGCTGCCTTCTGGTCTCTTCTCGAGCTTTCCTCTGACGCTCTGGTCCAATCACAGAGCTCGGCGCTGTCACTCTACGTGATGACGTCACCCACCAGCGCGTCACTAGAAGCTTCTTCAGGCTTCTGGTTGCTGCGAGAAACGCTGCCAGAAGTTAATACATTCATTCTAGATGTAATACATCGGGATTCATTGATGGTATGTAGAAAGGAACCATGTAGAAATATTAGAACCCGAGCAAATAAATCACAAATAAACACAAATACACAAATCAACCAAACATGCATCACAATTTGGATCCACTGCAGCCATTGGACTTACATATATGAACTCTACTTTAACCAACTATGATGATTCAATTTGTAGAAGACGTTAATGATTCGTCCGTATTAATAAAGAAGAAGCATAAATTGGAGGGTTTTTCATGCAGAGTTCTGCGTTTGTTTTAATGTCGGAAAACACCAAGTGCAGCGTTTCATCTGACATTTAATTGAAAATATAAAGTGGCTCAACAGAATTATTAGTAATCACAAATAAACACAAATACACAAATCAACCAAACATGCATCACAATTTGGATCCCGACACTGCAGCCATTTGACTTACATATATAAACTCTACTTTAACCAACTATGACGATTCAATTTGCAGAAAACGTTAATGGTTTTTCATTCGGAGTTCTGTGTTTCTTTTCATGTGGGAAAACACCAAGTGCAGCGTTTGATCTGACAGTTTTTTGAAAATATAAACTGGCAACAGAATTAAAAGTCACTTGATAATAGAGATATTAAACACATGTCAAGTCTTGAATAGTGTCATTCATAAAACCACCACCAGATATCGAAAGTGTCATTTGTGATTGCACAGCTGCGCTGTGACTGAGGTTGGCATGGCGGGTAGTTCTGGTGGAAGCGAGGTGGATATGCGGGAGGGCAGTGAGAGGTCGGACAATGAGGAGGGAGAAATGCATGCGGGGAATAAGGTAAAGTGGAAGGTGAAGAATGAGAAGAAACGTAGTAGGAAAGACGGGGAGTCAATGTCGGATGGGGATGACCAGAGGGGTGCGGAGAGAATGAGAAGGGATAAGAGGCGAGAGCAGGTGGAGGAATGGAAAGTTATGGCTGTGTTCGATGAGCCTACGAGGAAAGTGCTGAATCCGATAGCATTATCTAAAGCTATTGAAGCAGAGGTGGGACATGTTAGAGATGCGAGGTGTGTTGGGCATGGGAGAGTGCTGATTTTTGCTGTTAATTGGGCGCAGCAAGGCAAGTTAATGACGTTGACGTCGCTGAATGGAGCGAAGGTGAAGTGTCACGTACCGGGTGGAAGGGCTAAGAGCAGGGGGGTGATTACGGGGGTACCGCTGGATATAACAATGGAGGAATTCAAGAAAGAAGTAAAAGGAGGACGGGTAGTGGAGGCAAAACGAATGACAAATAAAAACAAAGGGAACGGAGAGGAGAGCCCTACGGTGATGGTGGAGTTTGATGGGCATATACCCAGTAGAGTGTGTCTGGGGTATGTGAGCTACTTTGTGAGGGAGTATGTGCCGGCGCCACTAAGGTGCTTCAAGTGTCAACGCATGGGGCATGTGGCCAGTGTGTGTAAGGGGCAGTGTCGGTGTGCTAAATGTGGGGGCCCACATGAGTATGGGAAATGTGAAGCACAGGCTAAAATAAGGTGTTGTAACTGCGGCGGGGAACATAGTGCGGCATATGGGGGGTGTATTGTGCAGAGAAAAGAGGCAGAGGTACAGAGATACAAGATAGTAAATAAAGTAACATATGCAGAGGCAGCAAGGAAAAGCCAAGGCAGCAGGAGGGAACAAGAAATAAGAGCCCAGGAACAGCCAGGAGTGATCACAGGGAGAGGGGAGGGGCAGGTGGTGGAGGGGGGAGATAAGAAGTGTAGTCATGGGGGATGCTCAGTTACAGAAGAGACACTGGTGGTGAAACGGGTGGATTTTTTGGCATTTATGTGTCATATTCTTAATATGAGTGAACAGGTGAAGAAAAAGTCGGCACGGATTGAGATGGTTGTTAGGGCTGCTAAGGAGTTTATGGGGATTATGGAAGTAACAGGGGAGATGTTACATGGGATGTTGGCACAGCCCAAGAGTGGGGATGTGGATATCAGTAGTAAATGATGTCACTGGTGGTGTTACAATGGAATGCAAGAAGCTTAGTAGCTAACGGGCAGGAGTTCAAGAGATATGT